AAATTCCTAGATTGTAAATGTATCTTAAATCCCATTAAATCTGTAAGTCCAAGATAGATTGTAATTTATAATCCATTTCTACATCAGGCTATAATGCTTAATGTCTTAACCTGGGTAGAATGGCTGAGATGGAGGATCATTTAAAATTTATATTTGTATTGATCTCAGCCTTTTATTTCCACCCAACCTCCTCCTCTTAATGTTTAAAGTCAATCACACAAGCAGGATGTGGCTCACAGTAACAGTCAGGTAGATGATCTATCACATACTGACTCAAAGGAAAGGGAAATTTCAATGAGTCAGTAGACATGAGTGAAGGGAGGGAGTTTAGGAACAGCTTAATTAGATTTATCGTGACAAGATGCTCTAAAATATCTCATTCTGAAAGGAGCACTGACCAGTCTGAAATCTCATTATCAATGATGTAATGAACATGTTTCTATAGATCTATCCTAACCTGTTCAGTGCAGCATAATAGGTCACCTTTAAAGAAAAACTCAAATCAAGCAACTGGAAATCCAGAAGATGAAAATCACTTTCAGGATAAGTTTTTTTATTTTCTTCCAGTGTAAAGACGCTCCTGTTGGCAGAAATTATATTATTAGGACTCTAATAATTGAAAGGGGTCTAAATGTGACATTTTCTACAAGTCAATTGACAAAACAGCGACAATAACCAAAACCAATGAGAAAAGAGAATAATCCAAGGTTTTTAGATGGTTATATACAATTTAATTGAATCACGTGAGAATTCAGAATTTATATTTATAAACCAAAATCAGTACAAATATTTAACATAATGAAACTACTGGACAGCAGTAGAAAGTCAGCTGGTGTTCCTTTGGTTTGGAAATGGTTCATGGTGTTTGTGTTTTGGTCGTAACTCAATTTTTTTATTTTTAGTCTTTTGACCCTTTCAGCCTTCCATACAGGGTTTAGAACATTGTTTTTGTGAATCCTATTTTTTTTGTTGCATTCTATTTTTTGAGTATTTGTTTCTCTAGCGTTGACACTGATGCATGTCTTCATGGCCTCTCCAGCTCCAGGGCACTCGCTTCATATTTGAACTGGAACGATTCCCCCGCCAGGGCAGCATGAGCAGAATGAAATATGTGAAGATCTTGGATCTTTAACTCTTGGTTTGGCAAAGTCGCTTTTTTCCAGCATCCCTTCTTTGTTCCACTCTGTAATTGTCCAAAACTCCAAAAATTCTTGGAGTCCTCCACGTCAGGCAGAAATTAACCTCTAATATAAAAGACAAAACCTGGGGGGAAAAAAACACAAACAGTAATAAATCAGCAAAGTTAATGTAGGAGCACCTAAATGATTGATAACAGATCTGCTGTTCATTGTCTTTGTTATGAACTTTTAAAATATGTTTTTGAGTTTTTACGTCTTGCAGCTTCTCAACTGCAAACTAAACAAAGTTTTCTTACGAAATAAGAAATGTATAAAATTTTAATGTTTTCTTCTTACCCCCCTAACTTTCACTGTTACAAATCAACCATTTCACTTTAAAGAAATAATACCTTTCCCACATATTCTGCTGCGTGTAATCAATCCTTTTAGATTTCTGTGTTTCTGCCTAGGAATGTTAAATAAAGAATTAATTTTATCCATGCAAATAACAGTTTGTTGCTTCAGTTTCTCAGTAGGACAGAAGCAGCAGCACAACACTAGTGTGTCGTTGTCACAGTTATCTGTTGTTTGCAAACAGATCCAATCAGCTGGTCACATCATTGCTGCTGTGTTTACTGTGACCACCAAAGACCTAGAAACACCACAAAGACAGTAAATGTTACTGCAGTTTTTAACTGTTTCTATCTCTGGACAAATTTGAATCAGAAATGTGTCCAGAAATAAATTTGTGATTCATAAAAAAAACAAACAGCAAATACCCTCTTTCTTCAAACAAAATGTACATATTCTTAGTGAATTTGCATATATATACATGTACTTACTCTGTACTTAAATAGCCTTTGTACAAAATACTTTTAGATATGTTTGTTTTAGATACCTTTGGATAAATAGATCACTCTTATTCGGGTAATTTCTTGGGTATTTACTTTTTTACTTTTTGTTGAGTAAAAACATGTTGAAATAGTGCTACACCTTAGTAGCATTATTTTCACTCTTAGTTACGAATTTGAATCTGAAGAATTTTTTCTGTCTGAATTTATTTAGCAATTTATTTGTATGATTTTAAATACCAGAATCTGCACACAAAAGTATATTTTTCTCCATCTGATGACGTCATAACTTATACTATATATTAAGTAGTTTTTTATATGAAATATTTCTAGACAGATCATGTTTACTTGAGTAATTTATTGGATGTCTACCTTTTGACCTTTATTTAAGTAAAATCATGTTGAAGAAGTGCTAGTTTTGCTTAAGTACATATTTTGGATACTATAACCACTTCTGAATGTAAATTAAATTTCAGGAATAACTTTTGTTCCTAAAAGGAATTTGGTCCCCAAAGTGTAGGTCTTGTCTGGTTTTATGGACCCCATGATCAAGGTTTACAGGAACACAGACACACACACACACACACACACACACACACACACACGCACACGCACACGCACACACAGAACGATTAACAATCCTGAATGTCAGAAACAAGATTCAGCTTTCCGAGTTTTTTTTTTTTTGAACAACAGAAACATCCATCTCCCCTCTCCCACCCTCCTCTGCCCCGCAACGAGGGCAGCCATGGCAAGTTGCCACATTCCTCACCGCCGGGAAAACAACGAATCACATCCCAGGAAGTCCGAGAGGAAGAAGCTGGCTAATGCTTTCCTGTTAAACACTAAAACACACACACACACACACACACACACACACACACACACACACACACACACACACACACACACACACACACACACACACACACACAATGGGACACACATACAGAATCAGTCCAAACCATAATTACAGGCTGCAGATGTTTGGCAGTTAAAGTTTCACTGCAGCAAAGCGTTACAGACCCATGAGGAACCGGGACATGGAGCAGTACCAGAACCGATATTTAAACAATAAGTGCAAATGAAAGTGAACTGGGAGCAGCGTAGGATTAAATCAGGTTTTAACCCTCCAACCAGAACCACAAGTCCAGCCAGGCCTTTCTGTGTCAGTTCAGACTTTTCTGTGAGTTTGGAGGGGATTTCTGTTTTGTTCGTCTCTCAGGGCTTTTCTGCTGCTCGGTCCGTTTCCCTCCTCCGGTCGCCATGGTGACGCTCAGCTATGCAGAGCCTGAATACAGTCAGCAGCTTCGCGGAAAGAGGCCTTTGTTACCCACAACCCCCCGCTCCTCCCCTCATCGCTTTTCTGGTCGTTTTCAGCTAAACTCTGGAGTGGTCTCACATCTCACACCAGTATGATACCAGGATACACTACCAGTACTAGTTACTGCATAAAAAATATTCATGCATCTTGACCTCTTTTTTCCACACTGAAACCCACAAACATCAGTGCAACTTATTGGGATTTTATTATCAGTGGGACTCGATTACAATTGTAATTAATCAATCACATTTTAATTGAAAACACAGGGTGTTTTTTAAACCCGATGGTTTGGTAGATTTGATTCGATTTCATTTTCAGCTGCTTTCACATTGCACTGTGTCAAACAAACACCTTTTGAAAATCCTGTTCCCCTCCTCGCCTGTGGGGGCACTGCTCCAAAAACCAGTGAAAGACACAACATGAAAACCTCTGAAGACACTGAATGCAACTTCCTTCTTAACAAAATGCAAACCAAAATGAAGCGGTTCGTTGTTAAAAGGCCATGAGTCATTTCTCCCACAGCACCAAGTTAGCATGTTTGCATTTTCCCAGAATGCCCTGCGCTGGAGTCCACATCCTACTTTTGAAATGGTTCACTTGGCGTTCACATACGTATTCAAACTGCACCGGAGTTCATTTCAAGCGAACTGAGACCTGTAGGAAGACCAGAGTTCATTTTTTGGTCTGCTTACGCATTCACACTGAACTGGACTTTCTACGCAAACGGACTGGAGTTGGATTAAAGTGGATAAAACAGGACTGGAGTGAACACAACCTAAACATTGACAAAATAAGCAACAGTTTTAATCCAAAAACATTTTTTGCTGTTAAATTATTGACTAAGCAGATACATGAGGACAACAATAAAGATTTTTGCTTTTAATCTGTTATTCATGTTTTCCATCCATTAGGTTGGTGTAAAAGTTTCTGTGTTGCAGGAACACTCAGGCAGAGGATTACAGCGCATTGCATTCTGGGTAAACACAACCAAAACAAACTGCTAGCCTAGCGCAGGAAATGGTTGTTGAGAGGAATATGTTAATCGGAGGGTTTGGTTCCTTTAATTCTGTGTAGTGTGAAAGGGAACCAGCAGCTGAAAATGTAACAAATGGTTTTGGGCCCAATTAGATTATTCCAGATTATCAAATGTGAAAACTAAAGAGTCAAAAGATGCAGAAACCAAATAAAGTTTGGCAACAATTGAAGAAAATAAATGGGAACATTCAAGAAACAGGATTGAACAATTTATTTTATCAATGGACAAAGAAATGAGCAGAATATGGCAACATAAGCAAAATAAATTAATTGTAGGGAAAAACAGAATTATTGTGAGATTTTTCAGTCAATAATGTCAAATAAATTATAATATTGAGACTTTATTTGACTAAATAGATTTTATTTCTATTGTAATTTCTAGTCAATCTAAAACGTTTTCTGGTTGGAGCAGCAGGAAGCATTTATTTTATTGAAGTTACATAATTATAGTTCTGCTTTTAACTTCTCCTGGGTTTCCCCATTATTCTTCCTGCTATTATTATTATTAATATGTGATCGGTGAGATCATTGATTTGAAGAGCAGCAGAAGAGGGCGGCATCATCTTCCTCCCCCTCCTCCTCCTCATGCCCAGTGTGTGTGTGTGTGTGTGTGTGTGTGTGTGTGTGTGTGTGTGTGTGTGTGTGTGTGTGTGTGTGTGTGCTCTCCCTCACTCCGCTGTTGGACTCTTCTTGCTTCGGACTCTGACTGAAGGCAGAAAATATGAAATAAGATTTTACACAACATCTCGGCGTCGATGCGGAGCTTCTGCAGAAACTCGCCGGTTTTGTTTCGTCTTTTCCCGGGAAATAAAAAGGAAATCTGGGAGTCGCGCCATGATCTGTGTGGAGGATCTGCTCAGTCCAGGTCAGTTTTATTAACTAAATCTCATTATAATGGAGCATAGAAAGTCTGGTAAACGTAAAGAGACGGAAAATAAACTTTCTATGATGACATAAAGTCTGAATCAGAAAATATGCGGTGATGCTTTTATTTTTAATATGCGGTGTAGGTTTTAACAAACTTGAATTTTAAACCTCGATGTGATTTAAATGCATTATTTGATGCATAAAAAGCCCGGATTAAACATGAAGGCTGCAGATAATCATCAGTTTCTATGAAAACATTTTTGTCGTCAGTGACTGAAAGTTAAAAATTCAGAGGTTTGAAAGTTAATTCTCTTGTTTTAACCAATTTATTTTATTAAATGGAGGCTTTAAAATACCAAAAACAATCAACAGAAATGTGATATAAAACTTCTCTTCCTTTATTCAAACTGAAAAATAGAGATAAACTCGTAGATTCTGAATTTTGTTTTGCGTTTTAAAACATTTTAAAAACATTTGTTTCCTTGTCATGATGAGAACTTTAAAGGAAATAAATGAATTTAAAGTTTGAACATTTTCAAGCTGTCAAACTGAACAACGAAGGAAACAAATGAAACTGTTTCCAGCGGAAACTGGACGGTTTTTAATGAGCTTTAATAAACTCCACTGCAGCTTTACTGGATGATTTTTATAACTTTTACATAAATTCACACAAATTCTCCGATTTTCAGTCTTTTTATGATAATTATTTTATGATAACTGAATTGGAGGCACATTGCAGACACTGGAATATCTGTCGCTGAATTTGATGTTTTGTAAAGTCAGGATCAGATTTGATCGGTTTAGTTTTGAGATTAGATGAATCTGTTCACCGAGATCGATTATTGATCGGTTCTCTGCAGGACCATGACCTGCAGCAGCAGAACCCGCTCTGCTCCTCAAGGCGACCCAATGGCATGAAGGACTGAAGGTTTGAGGACACCGCGCCCCCTGCTGGACCCCGGCTGCAGCTGCAGGCCATGGCCGAGCCCAGTTACTCCGACCTGATCGCCAAACATTACAACTACACCGGCAAGTTCCGCAAGTCGACCCAGCAGGACTCGGGTCTGAAGGCAGACTCGGTGATCTTCATCATCGTCTGCTGCTTCATCATCATGGAGAACATCCTGGTCCTGACCACCATCTGGAGGACCAAGAAGTTCCACAAACCAATGTACTACTTCATCGGGAACCTGGCGTTGTCCGACCTGCTGGCCGGTGTCGTCTACACCGCCAACATCCTGCTGTCCGGCGCCAACACCTACAAGCTGACCCCGACCCAGTGGTTCTTCCGGGAGGGCAGCATGTTCGTGGCTCTGGCGGCCTCCGTCTTCAGCCTGTTGGCCATCGCCATCGAGCGCCACCTCACGATGCTGAAGATGAAGCTGCACAACAACGGGAACACGTTCCGGGTCTTCCTGCTGATCAGCACCGTGTGGATGATCGCGGCGGTTCTGGGCGGACTGCCGGTGATGGGCTGGAACTGCATCCGGAGCATGCCGCAGTGCTCCACCGTGCTGCCGTTGTACCATAAGACCTACATCCTGTTCTGCACCACCGTCTTTAGCATCATCCTCATGGCCATTGTGGTTCTATACGCCCGGATCTACGCGCTGGTTCGCACCCGCAGCCGCAAACTCGTCTTCCGCAAAGTCACCAACGGCCGAGGCGGCGCCAGCGCCAACAACAAGAGCTCGGAGAAATCGATGGCGCTCCTGAAGACCGTCATCATCGTCCTGAGCTGCTTCATCGCCTGCTGGGCGCCGCTGTTCGTCCTGCTGCTGCTGGACGTGGCGTGTGAGACCCGGTCCTGCCCCATCCTCTACAAGGCCGAGTGGTTCCTGGCGCTCGCCGTCCTGAACTCCGCCATGAACCCGCTCATCTACACGCTGACCAGCAACGAGATGCGCCGGGCCTTCCTCAAGACGCTGCTCTGCTGCACCGCCTGGATCCGGCCCAAACCCAAGTTCACGGGACCGATTATGGGCGCGGAGTTCAGCCGCAGCAAGTCCGATAACTCGTCGCATCCCAACAGGGAGGAGGCGGAATATTCACCCAAGGAGACCACGGTGGTGTCCGGGAACCTGACCTCGTCCTCATGAACAGGCTGTGGGTCCCACTCTGGTTCTTCACGACTTATTGGGTCGGAACTCTAATGACGAGATTCTCCAAACTGATGAAACCCAATTAGAGGAAATCCGCTCTGCATGAAGCTCTTGTAACTTTGGACCCAGTCCGATGTGAACTGTGGAGGAATCGGAACATTTTCCTGAGGAGAAGGCGACGCGATACTGGAAGCACTGGGAGGGTTGAGACCAGCTCCAGCCGGGAAACTGGTTTTTCTTTCACCAGACTTTATTCTCACCTTTCCAGACCAACTAGAACTTGTAGCACTTAAACACATTACTGCCAGTTATTTAAGAGATTAGTTACTATAAATGTCTCCTCATCACTGCACGTGAAGAAACACCATAATCTGGAAACCTGCGTGAAATCCACCAGTATCACCAGTATGACCAGTATGACCAGTATGACCAGTATCAGGGCCAGGCTGAGAAAAATCTCATTATGACAATAAAGTTGAACAAGAATAAAAAAACAAGAATAAATGAATATTACTGAAAAAAATATAGCAAATCAAAAATGCTGAAATAAACTCATTTCAAGAAAAAAGTTTTTACATTATGAGAAAACAGTTTTTACAATAAAAAGTCTAATAATACATAATACGTTTTACTGCATGAAAAAAACTTACAAAAATAAAGCCACAATAACATGAGAATAAATTTATAATACATGAAAGTCATAATATTACCAGAATAAAGTTAGACAAAAAGTCATAGACTGAGCAAAACGAGAAACAACAAAGAATAAAAATCTACAAAAAAAAATTATATGGCAAAAAAAAATTAAATAATGAGAATAAAGTCTAAATAATAAAAGTCATAATAACATGAGAATAAACTCAAATTATCAGATTTGTTGTTTTATTTGTAAACTGAAGTAGTAATTTCATAACTCTGACATCAAAAATAATAAAATCTAAAGAGGAATATTAGACATAGGAAACTTAATCTTTTAACATCAACATCAAAATGTTCCAGGAAGAAATTCAATAATGAATTAAAGAAAGAATCACAGAGCAGATGGTTGAAGCTTTGCTCTCATTAAATGACTTTTTCCAGTAATTTAATATTTTTTTCTGCTATTCTGCTAATATTATGACTTTATTCTTGTAATAATAATAGTAATAATGAAAATGACTTATTCTGTCCCTGTTTGCTTTTTAATCAGGTAAAAAGAGGAAAAACATCCAAAATATCAACTTTTCAGCCATTTTACATCATTCAAGAACAAACGAGTCCAAACAAGAAAAAACGTTTTTAATTATGAAAAATAAAATAAATAAATAAACTCTTAAAATATACATGAGAAAAAAAAAACATTTCTTTTAAACGAAGCAAATACTAGAAAGTTTTAAAAAATAATAAAGGTTTGAATTGATAATTATTTTTTGTGTGGGTACATTTTAATTTCACAATATTTTTATAAGTTATCACATTTTTTATCTCTAAAAATAAAAACACATAGGGTGAAAATTATTAATTGAAGTTTTTTCTTTTTTTATGAAATTTGTACATTTAAGTTAATATATTAATTTAATTATAAAATTGCTGACATAATTGGTCATTTTCACAGATTTAGGTTATTATTTCACCCAGAAAACATTTCTGATAATTATGAAATTTAATTTAGTTTTAGATGATTAATATGAAGCTTTTTTATTGTGTTATTTGGCCCAGTTATGTTTTCCATTGGTAATAAAAATCCCAAACAATAACTAGTAATTATAATCTGTTTTATTCTAGTGAAATAAGAAAAATAATGCAGTTTGTTGTAGATTTGAGTGGAAACCGTTTGCCTTAGAAGTGCTTGTGATTTCATGTTGCTGCAAGTAATTTCGGACATTTTAAGACTTTTTGAAATTGATTTTTAGTCTTTTTGGTTTGAAAACTCAGAAAATTACCTTTTTTTTTGCAGTTTCCATTTATTAAAAGCAGAAATAAAGAGTTTTGTGGCGTTACATAAACATGTGAAACTGAAAAACGACAGATAAAACTTGATTTTAAATCATTGGCACAAAATATATGTAGCAGAATTTTTTAAATTGCATTTTTGTTTTCTGGATTCCCAGTTTATTTACAGCATTATGACCCCAATTCATGTTTTCATCTGTTACATTCATGTAAAAACTGTTTTGTTTTGTTTTTTGGTAAAAATTGTAGAATCTGTTTGACTGAATGTGTTTTCTACGTTTGGTGTTTGTTGTGTTGCTGGTGAACTTAGATTAATTCTTATTAATTTATATGTGACACTAAAATTTTCAATAAATTCTTAGCGTTGACGTCACGGATCCACCGAGGCACAAAGGTCACCGAGACAAAGTGAGAACAAAAGGAGAAAATTAATCTTAGAATGGAAAGTGCTGCTCAGGTTCTCAGGACCCCGAGCAGTTTTTTGGCACAAACAGGCTCCCGTAGGTCTGCAGTCCAGATGCTCTGCTTGACTCCAGATGTTTGATTGAATATTAGAACTTAATAAAGAAGGAATAGAAACACAGATTTCATCTGAGCCAATGAAAAAATAAAGGTGATCCATCCATCCATCCATCCATCCATCCATCCATCCATCCATCCATCCATCCATCCATCCATCCATCCATCCATCCATCCATCCATCCATCCATCCATCCATCCATCCATCCATCCATCCATCCATCCTATGCATGGTATTGGTGGCATTATACTGTGGGACTATTTTGTCCCAGGTTTTTCAGATTCCTTTCTCATGTTCAGTCTAATCAGAATTCAAATAGAGGATATTATGCACAGTTATAGATATAGATATTATATAGAGTTATATATATAATTATATAGACTTATATATAACTCTATATAGTAGAGTTATTATAATATAATAAATAATAAAAAAATTATTATTATTATTATTATTTTTTTGGATCAGCTGGACAGCAGAACATCTTTAAAGATGAAAAACAGAGAGAGTGAGCTGCTGCCCCCTTGTGGTCACATATGGAAACTGCATGAGATAGTCTGTTTTCCTGCTGTGGAAAATCTGAATAAGGAGTAAAAATTTGTGAAAAGTATAAATAAAACTTGTTCATTAAAGATATTTCCAGAGAGTCAAGCTGCTTGGGGGCAACAAAAAGTTGACAGAAGTGCAAAAAAAAAAAAAAATCACAGAGGGATCAGTGACTGGAGGCTTGGCTAAATACAGGAGGAGTTAATGTGTAATCAGGACTCCAGCAGGATTTGGATGAGTTCATCCCTCAGGAGTCCAAAGATGGACCTGGTTCTGTTTGTCGCCTTGTCTCTCTGCTGTGAGTAAATATTTTCTTTGCTTTCTATCAGCAACACATCAACTCATAAAGACAGGAAGTTTTAGCTGATTTGCGATGATCTAACAATGTTATTAATTTCACTAATAAGTAAACAAGACATCTCAGGTTTTGATATTAAATACATGAGAGAACTAAAATGAGCTTCACTGATTTCCAGTTTGCCTCTGATTTGTTCCAGGTTGGACAGCAGATGCCAGGTATGTTTGGTCAGGTGAGTCACTTTTACTTTGGACAAAATAGTTCAAGAAATAGTAAATAAGGTCTGATTTAAGAGCTAAAACACCGGAGAAAAAGTCTAAAAGTTATTTATTCACTCCGTGCCTCTTAATAACTTTGATCAAAAATGCAACTTATGAACCTTTTTAATGTAATTATCTATAAAAATGGGAACATTGAAGTAAAAATATTCAAAGGGTTTTCTTTCGTTAAAAAAACTAATCCAATTTCTTACATTAGGTATTGTGTAAACGAGGCATTTTATTTTGAAGGGTCAAGGAGCTTTGATGGTTGGACCAAAAGCAAAACCAAAAAAGAGAAGAAGAATCTGGTTAGATGGTCAGAGCGCCACAACTCAACTCACAACATCACTGTTAGAGTCCAGCATGAAGACGTTTGTTGTCGCTGCAGCATGACACCAGGTTAGGCGTTTGGGTTCGACCCACCGGCCCAGTGAGACTCCGATCCTCACCAGTAAGGCCCTTTAAGAAACCATTCAGGTCCCAGAAAGTACCCAGGAGGTTCTGTGTACCTTCGAAGTTCCTTTTGAACATACTTTGGGTCTGATCTTGTCATGAAACCCCCCCTTTCACCTTACAGGGTTCAGAGTTGATGTGAAACACATTGAACTTCTGACTCAATAGAAAGTTCAAGAACGTCTCCTTCATGTTAGTAATTTCATGTGATTTAAAGTAGCTTGTGCCGCTGCTCTGCAGATAAACCTAAGATCCTGGGGACCAATGAAATCCTGGACGGAGAAACGGTGGAAATCAGCTGCTTCGTTCCTGTCGACTACACAGGCGGGCTCTGCCGTCTCTTCAGAGGAGACTCTGAATATCCCTTCAAGGTGATGGTAGCAACAAGTTATGTGTGTATTTTCAATCTGACGTCAAAGGAGGTGCTGGGGAACTACGTGGTCGGCAGCACGTTCAAACTCAGATGTGACTACAGACTGCAGGAGTACACCTCCATCTCCAGCGACAACATGCTCATGACTGTCTCTGGTGAGAGGCGACCAGGTTCCAGAAAGTACTTCTGTCTATGAAAGCTCATAAAAGCACTCTCTACCGTACAGGTACCAGACCCAAACCCAGTCTGTCCATCAGCCGTCGCTTTGTGTCACCTGACGACATCATCGAGGCCACCTGTATTCCTCCGGTGTCCCCTGTCGCTTACTGCAGGTTCTACACAGACGTGTATGGGTTGGACAGGCCGTCCTGCAGCGCTAACATAACCTTCAGAGAGCTCATCAGGTTCCTGGAGCCCAGCCTGCTGCTTCCTGTCAACCTGTCCTGCACCTACGACCTCGACGAAGTTCTCTCCATCCGCTCTCAGTACAGCGACGAGCATCTGGTGTTTGTAGTCGGTATGTCTGCTGTTAGAGGAAGGAAACAGGAGCAGCGAATCGTAAGGAACCTTTTGAGGCTCAGAATTTCAGAGATATTTGCTAATTCGTCTCAGTGGTTCAGACACCAAGTTCTGTGTTTGGCTTCAACTACTGCGTTCTGCTCCTCATTGCATTATAAGTACATGGAAAAAACAACAACTTGGACCCTGTAGATTATTGATTATGAATTTCCACAATCACAGAATCACAAAACTGGAGGGACTGGTTTCCCTGATGTACTCTATCGGTATTGTGTCGACACCCAGTGGTCCTACCAGTAATCCCTGCTGTCTGGATGTGCTCAGATCCAAGACAGGTGACCTCATCAGTCAACTGTTCGGTCTCGGTGAGTGAGGATCAGCTGGCGGCGTTTGAAGACCGGACATTGACGGCGTTTGGAGCTAACGGAACGACTGTCACCATCCGGATGACCCAGCGCGGCCGGAACCTCGAAAACACCTGCAACCGACTCCAAACAAGATCCGATTCCCAGAGAACCGCTCAGATGAAGAGACGATTACAATGAAAAGTCAGAAGAATAAAATTGGAAGATTCAAATCCAGTGAAAATAATCATCCATTCATTTAAGCACTTAACCCAACTGCTAATGCGGCACATTTCCACCAATGCACTAACAACGGAGCTAACCTTTAATTTAGCACTTTTGCTAACTTTAAAATCATTTAGCGCTCTGACTTTCCCTACATTAACTTTTCTTCATAGAGTCTAAACTGCCAGTTTACTCAACTGTTTGTAAAGTTTCAGTTGAATAAAGTTTGACTTCTGTGCTGAAGTTTTGGTTCTGAGTTCTTCAAGTAGTTACTTTAATTTTCATGCTCTTATTTTGAAGTGGTTGAAGACCATTCCTGCTGCCCACCAACCTCGGTCTGGTTGAAGTGAACCAGACCGCTGCAGTTCAAATGGATCCCAGAACTGACCGCGCCAAAACCAGAAAATGGACTGCAGCGCAGGGCATTCTGGGTAAATACAACCAAAACAAACGACAGGCGGCTTTTAGCAAAGACAAAAGAGAAATTATACAACCACTAAAATCCGACACTGCTCCATTTTTATTTATTTTATGGAGCTGAAAATGTAAGAAATGTTTTTTGAAACCGGACTGTCAGGTGGGAAACGATGTAAAGATTGATCACATTTTATTTGTAGAGGCTGATTAAAGTAAATGCGATGCTGTGGGTTTTTCCCTAATCACTGTTTCACTTGAATTACCTTTAAATCGCTCCAATTGTGCTCAGGGGAAAGAAATGTTCTGTTCTGTTTACTGACGCAAACCTTCTTCCGCTTCCCTCTCAGTTGTACCTCAAGGCGCTTTATTTGGCCACATTCAGTTTCCACGATTTTATGGACTCTTTTCACATTTCGTCCCGAAAGCAAAGCCTCTTTTTCAGGCCTTTTTTTCTCGAAACTGCATTTGATCAAATTAAGTTGTTTTAAATATATCATAAGGTTGGAAATGTGAGGATTCATTGCAAAAAACGCTTGAAGCAAATCATTAATTTAATGCACATGCGTTCAGACGGCTTCTGTTTACAGCCTGGCTAAAGAAAAATTCAGGAATTTTAGAGAAAATGTGTGAAATTCATGTCAAATTTGAGTTTTTTGTGTTGTTCATCTTTTGAAACTCAAAAATTCCAAAGTTTTTTTTTAATAGAAAATTTCTGAGATTTTGTGAGAATTGCTCTAATAGAGATTAAAGTTTTTATCAGTGGATTTCATCCTCTTCCATGTCCTGGTATCATATTTCACATATTACATTTATATTGATGTTGTCTCAATAAAATAAACTTCATAAAGGATCCGCTAGTTTAAACTGGGCCAAGATCCTCATCCTCCTCATTTATAACAACAAAACACAAAAAAACTAAATATTTAAAACGACTTTTACAGTTTTTACGTTATGAAATCAGAGCTTGTACTTAAAAGTATTATTTCAACATTAGTGCTCTGCCAAACTCTTAAAGTGCCACCATGACCTCTCCGCAGACAGAGGCATGCTGGGAAATGTAGTTTACTGAAACCGAACGGATTCGGCGAAGACGAATCACTAAACTACATTTCCCACAATTCCTAGCGCGTTTTCTTCCTCCTCTCCTTCCTTCCTGCAGCTTCGGCCCTTCTCAGCTGAAAAAGGAAGATGAGAAGCCGCCGCTGCAGCCCCGAACAGAACCGACCCTGAACCGAACCGGACCTCCAGAGGAATGTCGGCGGAGCGGCTGCTGTCGGAGCGCAGGCCGAGCCCAGCTGCCGAACCCCGGCCCTGAACGCGACGCGACCAGCCTGGAGCAGCGGGCGGGTGGAGCTGCAGCCCCGCCGGGCCGGACCGAACCGAACCGAACCGAGCCGAGGAGAGTTCCTGTCATCCACCGTCCTGCCTGCCGGCGATGCAGAGAAACCCGCGGGACTAAAGAGTGGACCGCATCTGAAACCAGAACCGAACTGAAGCCCGCATTCAGGTGAGACCCCTCCCTGCACACCTGGGCGCAGCCGGGAGAACCGCTGGTTCTGGTTCGGTGTCATGTTAGAGCGAATCCAAGCGGTCCGTCTGAGTAATGCAGGAGCAGTTTGGACCAGTTCGGACCAGAAGTTCCGTCCAGTCAAAATGAGGCTTTAATGCTTTATTTAAACTTTTCTCCTCCTGAACTGCAGGATTTAATGAAACTGCTCACAAACATCAAACTGACTCATATTTGGTTAAATGTCAGTAAAGTTGATGATCGGAGGTGAAATTAGAGGAAGATGTTTTTTCCTGATTGTTCTGGCTGTGAATCGAGCCCACAGCATGATGCTGCCACTGGTGCTTCGGTTTCTAGGTCTGAAAACTTTATATCCGTCCTCATCAGGATGAATCTATTCAATTAGAAATGAGTATTTCAGACATTTATATGTTGTTGTCTTCCCTGTTGACTTTATAAGTCGTTGTTTTTCTTGGTTAAAGTGTAATTCACCTTAAGAACCAAAGTACCAAACCAGGATTTTTGTGAATCGCCACCAAACCCAAATTCCCACTTCACTGTGAAAAGAACCAAATCCTTTGAGTGACCTGTTCCCCTCCTGGCCTGTGGGGGCGCTACACCAAGAACCAGTGAAGAAAACGACAGAAACAGCTTCCTGTTTTGTGAAATGGAGTGGTGTCAGGTTTTAGTGTTTGGAGGATTTCTCTTCAAGGTTAAAGATCATGAAGGATTCATCCTGCTAGAGCTAGGCTAGCACGCTTGATTTACCCAGAATGCCCCTGTTGTTGCTTTTTGATGGCTCCGGTTTAATCGGGACGATGTTTTCCTCTGTCCTCCTCCAGGTGGCGGCATGGAGCGCTCCGGCAGCATCCAGCTGGACATCCCTGACTTCAGCAACTCCGTCCTGTCTCACCTGAACCAGCTGCGCGTCCAGGGCCGCCTGTGCGACATCGTGGTCAACGTCCAGGGCCAGAGCTTCCGCGCGCACAAGGTGGTCCTCGCCGCCAGCTCGCCGTACTTCCGCGACCACATGTCGCTGAGCCAGATGAGCACCGTGTCGCTGACGGTCATCCGCAACCCGTCCGTGTTCGAGCAGCTGCTGACCTTCTGCTACACGGGCCGCCTCTGCCTGCAGCTGGCTGACATCATCAGCTACCTGACCGCCGCCAGCTTCCTGCAGATGCAGCACATCATCGACCGCTGCACCCAGATCCTGGAGGGCATCCACCTGAAGATCAGCCTGGCCGACGTGGACGAGGCGACGCGTGACGACGACGACGGCGCGCCGCCGCGGGCGGCCCGGCCCGGCAGGACCGTGGAGGCCATGGTGCGCGGCGGCGGCGGCCATCACGGCGGGCTGAGGCTGCTGGGCGCCAGGGGCGGCACGGAGGCGTGTGAGGTCATCAGCCCGGCGGAGGAGCCACTCAGCCCGCCGCCGACTGTGGAGCACAGCGGGCTGGCGGGACCCGGCGCCACCAGCAGCAGAACCAGCAAGGAGCCCATTCTCCGCATTAACCGGGCCGGCCAGTGGTACATGGAGACGGGCAGCGAGCCGGAGAGGACCGACAGCGCCGAGGAGGGCGGCGGCGGCGTGGACCGCATCAGGATCAAAACGGAGCGCATGGAGGACTGGATCGGAGCCGGAGGGAACCAGGAGGAGGCGGCGGCCGCAGAGGAGGGCGGAGCCACGGTGATGATCGACACGTCGGGCCGCAGCACGCTGATGACGGCGCCGCTGGGCGGGCTGGGAACCCGCAGCGGACAGGCGTCCTCCAGCTTCAGCGAAACGGACCGGTGAGTCTGAACCACACTAATTAATGTTGTTTTAAGATGGTTCTCATGTTTCACAATAAATAAATTACATACTAACACAGTTTCTAAAAAATCGATTATTCTGGCGATTAATCTTCTAAAATAATTGCCACTCTGCAGATCTTTTATAGAATAAATACAAATAAACAAAGAGTTAAATTACTTATCAGATGTTATTTATCATGATAAATAATCAATTCCTAAATTAGTTGATCAGTAATGGATTAACGGTGATCGTCCAGGTTCAGTCCCACCGGCAGCGTGGTCGTCCTCACCGAGCGCCAGAGAGCGAAGAGCGAGTCTCCGAGTCGAGCCGACGAACTGCGGCAGCCGAGCTCTCAGGTAAGAACCCGAACATCTGGAACATCAGGCGACACCAGGCGCTTTCCCGCCAGAACCGACCCAGATCTACCGCAGTCTGAAAACTTGATTTATTAAAAAAATGTTGTTATTGAAACTGAAAAGATTGATCTCCTCTGTCTTCTAGAAATGGCCAATCAGAACCAGGAGGCGGGTCTTAGTGCTGTCAATCACTTCTTCCTTCTCTTTGCTACACTGCATCTAGCATAGCCAGTGATAGCTGCTAAGGCTAGTTAGCATAGCCACTGTTAATGGTGGATAAACAGTTTTGTTGTAGTGATTAGCACATTTAACATCACATACACACGGTTGATTGGCAGCGCTAAGCCCCGCCTTCTGGCTCTGATTTGTTGTTTTTGGTGCATTTCTTCAGACTGCAGCTCACGGATTGTATTGATCTGTTCATAGATTATCTGTCTCATAACATAATGTCATGGCATGGGGATAATTTAAATAAATATGTAAAATAATATATATTTATTAATAAACTTTTAAAGCTTTGAGCCAAAAATAACAAAATCTCCCAAATAAAACCACCAGATTCCTGACGGAGCTTCTCAACACGTTTTGTCCAAAACATTTAAACTTTCTTACATGCAGAGTCGGGTCGTAACTGTCACATTTTAATAATATTATTACTGTGTTGTTCTTTTTCATGGTTAAAATTTCTGGATTTTCTTCCCACTAAATGAAAATCAAACCTGTTTTAACCAGAATGAGACTCACGCCTGCAGTTTCTCTTAACGTTTCTTATTGGTTGATTCAAACATTTGGAAAAATTTATTTTTCTTGATTTCATTTTGTACTTTTATGAATTATTGTAATTTTGAGCCTTACAATACCAAAAATTCCTCTTAACATTATATTTTGGTCCGTCTGATGATGTAGTTTTTAAATGATTTGATCAGTCACTTGGTATCTGAATAAACTTTTTATCAAACACTTTTTCGCTCTAAAGTCTTTTCTTGTACCGATACTTTTTACTTTTACTTGAGTAAATCCTGTTGCAGTTTTAGGGGTTTTTGCTCTGGTTGAACCTAAATGACCTCGTTTAGTTTATTTTAGCTCCTGATCCTGTTTTTGTTGGTCTCTTGTGAGTCTGATTTGTCCGTGTGTCCGTCAGGGCGAGGAGCACGCGGCGTTCGACATGGGCGGCTACGAGGATTACCTGAGGGAGCAGGTGGGCGACCGCTGGTTCCGCTACAACCCGCGGCTCACCTGCATCTACTGCTGCAAGTCCTTCAACCAGAAGGGAAGCCTGGACCGCCACATGCGGCTGCACATGGGCATCACGCCGTTCGTCTGCCGCATCTGTGGGAAGAAGTACACCCGCAAGGACCAGCTGGAGTACCACATCCGCAAGCACACCGGCAACAAGCCCTTCCACTGCCACGTCTGCGGGAAGAGCTTCCCCTTCCAGGCCATCCTCAACCAACACTTCCGCAAGAACCACCCGGGCTGCGCGCCGCAGGAGGCCCACAGCGCCTCGCCCGAGACCACCACCGCCTCCGTCCCGTCCCGCGGCGGCGGCCCGAGCGACGAGGCCTCGCCCAGCCAGGAGGAACCCGAGGCCGGCGGCGGCAGCAACAGCGGCCATTACGCAGACGGCCCTCAGACCTCGGTTTCCACCACGGGGCCCGACTGACCCGGGCGGAAACGAGGCGAACGCCGCCGGTCCCGTCTGAAGGCAACGCACACCTCAGAGTCCGAAATGAGATTCTTACCGCTTTAAACCGCATCTACCTTCACTAACCAGACAGAACAGATTAAGCTAAAGATGAAGAATCGCCACACACTCCTACAACCTCACACACACACAACGCTCAGCGGCGCCGCCGTCAACTTTATTTTGCAGGTTTCTACTTTCTGGATATCCGGGTTCACAACGCAGCATCACAAGTAGCGGTGCACCGATTACCAATTACGACCGGTTCTGATTTTTACGACTGAATTTTGCTAAATATTGCAGAGTTAGCACCAGTGGGTCAAACCTCTCGCACATCGGAGTAGAAGAGGACAGAAGTTGATTTTTAGACCTTTTTGGAGGAAATCGGGCCGATTTATCGGTGCACCTCTAATCCCGACCGTCTGGGGAAACTGGGGGAGAAGGAGGGCTTTGCCAAGATACTCAGTGCCAGTTTTACGGTTCAAATCCTTTTTATTTGCCTTGAGACAATCCGGAGCAGTCAGGTTAATAATAATAATAATCATTGCGCTCTAAGTGCCACAGCGATGACGGTTTCATCTCAGCGCCACTGGAGTTTCTGACGTTGTCACATTTCATTTTTTACACTACAAACAAAAAAACTGCAGCTCTAACTTCTCAGTCCTGAAAACATTTTGCTCCGTTTACAGTTTTATCCATTTCGTTTTGTTGCTTACAGGATGGTGGCTTCAAATATCCCAGTTTAGATTATTTTGACTTTCGGATTTACTGTTTAAATCTTCATCATTGATAATCAATATTTGTGATGAAAAGAAATCTTTCAGGTCTATTGATGCTGAATTTGTGGGTTTAAATGCTACATCAGTGACAATAAGACAGAAAAACTAGGGATACCCGACATCAGCAGCCGCCGATATTTTATCCGATAAGTGAAACTGAGGCGATATAAAGACACGATGTTTATTTCCATCTTGTTGCTGCTTGGTTCTTGAGGGAGTTAGCTATGCTAACAAAAGGCTAGTTACGCTAAACCAAAAGCGCTATAATATATTTAGAATATATATTATGTTTATATCTTTTCCTGTCCATCTTATTATGTTTCTTTATGTATCTTGCTACAAGTTATTGAGGGAGTGAAGGAAGTGAAACAGTTGCATAAATTATCTTAATCCACTTCAAAATAAAAGCATGAAGCTAAACATCAAAGTATTTCATAATAAAAACTAAAAGTTCTCAAAACAACCAATAAAATTGGCGCTTTAAAATGGATCCAGAATTATTCATTTAGGCAAAGCTAAGTGGGCTAAACTACTGAAAGTTAGCTAAAAAGCTAAGCTAAGGATTCTTAGCGGTTCTTAGCGAGTTAGCGGACGTTAGCATTTGAGAAAATGTATAATACCGGTTATTGGCTAAACTAATTCAATATCAACCAAAATTTATGAACAAAAACATCAGTTTCTCTTCTGAAAGATATATTATTTTAAAATTACAATAGCTATTGTTTATAATTATCATTAAAGAATAATTGTACTAAATAAATAATATATTAGTAACTATAATTCAAATGTGCAAAAAGTCTGTAAAATTGCCGTCGAGCAGAATAAAAGCATCTCTGGAAAAAAAACTGAGTTATCTTAGCGATCATACAAACAAAAGGGAGTTAGCTTTTGTTTGTATGTAGAGTTTTTTTATGTAGTTTTTTCTTTTAGGTCTATTAATTAGTTGCTGGGCAGAAATCAGAGCAGAGGGATCCGAACTCTGGACCGTCAGCTTCTGATCGACATGATTTTTATGATTTCTATATATAATATGATTATATTGTGTGATATTTGAAGCCATCAGCCGCAGAGAAACTCCAGTCGCTGGTTTATTAGTTCAATTGGCTGTGAAATATTTAACCGGATCATGTTGATGTTTGCTAACTGTGGCGGTGAAACCTTCCAAGTTTGTCATAGATTCAGACTGAACCACGGAGCAGCGGGACAGTAGGACAGAAACAGTCTCAGATAAGCTACACAGCTCGATAATTACCTCTCATCACTACGCAATACGGCTGCTGCTCACTCAGCACCACCACCGGGGGGCGCTCTGGTCCGACAGACTTCAGATCGATTTTATAAACAGGTCTTTGTTTCTCTATCATTACTGTTCACCTCTGTACTTCTGACAGTTTATTATTTAGAGGAGGAAATGATCAGAAATCTATCAATTAATGACGCATTAAATCTTCTGCACTCAACCTAAAATATCACTGACTGTGTAAGTTAATTTTACCATAACAATTAATTAAAACGGCTTATTTAATAATACTGTTATAAATCAACAAGCTATCTATTACGCATAAGTTGGCCATATATTTAAAGTAGTTTTCTAAATTGATCCATTTTACAAAATACAACTTATCTGGGCCTAAAAAAGAAAGAATTTAGTCCTGAAAATCCAGTTGGATTAAAAAAAAAATCAAATTTTTATCACAAATTGTCTCAATAAAAGCAATTAATGAGTATTAAACAGCTTAATTTGATCAGTAAACTGTAGAATGATTTCAATCCAACATTATTCTGTTTCCTGGCCAACTTCTTTAGAACAAGTTAGTGGAATAAAAATATTAAAAATAACTTAAAATCAGTTTTGGGGAATTATGTAAGATATTAATTGGAGTGTTAAAAGTCTGTGACTCAAAAAAACACTTTACATTTTGTATTTTGCTGGTTCAAAGAGCTTCTCTGTTTTGTTGAGCTTCTGTTGCTAATTTAGCTAACATAGTTAGCTCGAGCTAATATAATTAGCTGATGCTATTTTTGCCTTCAAAATGTAACTATTTGTGGATATTTCACTTGCAACCAAGAAAAATGAAACGTATCAGAAAAAAACCCCAAAATGAACAAGAAAAACAAACAAGTTTAAAGGAGAGCAAAGAAACTGGAAGCTAGCCGTTACCTCGCTACGTCAGCTAGCCAGCGCTAGGAAAAACAGTGGAAAACGACTCATTGTTGAACGTTTATAAGCCCGATTTTAAATAGATTTCAGACATAACTCCAGTCAAAGCTTGGAAGCAGGATTATTGTTTTCAGGTGAAGCTCAGCCAACCTGAGTGATTTTTTAGCTGATGCTAATTAAACGTGGTTTTATCCACAGTGCATTAGACGTACTGCGTCATTAACGGCTGAAGATCTGAGAGTAAAACGAATAGACAGAGCTCTACCAGGTCAGACCAGATGGATGTAAAAACCCGGACGTTTTAAACCTCCAGACGTTGCATGTCAGAGCAACTGGCAACCAAAGGACAGCGGCCATTTTGGTTCTCCGAAACACCCAAACTTCCGCACTTAACGGCAACTAAGAGTCGTGGTAGAAAAAGTTTTTTTAAAAACAGAACAATAACAAATCTACAGATATTATCAGACAGATGTATTTAAACTACTAAGATGTTTTTGTTTTTTGCTTCTAAATGTAAATGAGTTTAATCGCTGCGTGTGGGAGGTAGCACATGGATCCGCTGTTACTGTTTTCTACAGAACTGTGAATCTGATTCTCAGTGGACAGTAAAAAACGTTTTTTATGCAAGTGAAGCCAGCGGCTCCGTCCTCACACTGAGCGACTCGAGATTTTCCTCTCGGATCTCACAACCAGAGCCGCCGCCGCCACGCTCACATTCAGGCCTAACCAGGATCTATCAGGTATAAAGACTTCCTACTTTAGTCTCTCAAATGGACGTTTTCTGTTGGTGTTTTCCCTTTGTAGCAGAGCATTAACGGTTAAACCTCAGTGCAGTTTGCACACCGCAGAAATAAAATATTCATGTACACAATAGCAGCAGGTAAAAAATATCAAATAGTACTTTTGTGAGGAACAACTGGATTACAGAAAATACAAAAACAGGGCTGGGCAATATGAGCAAATATACTGAAACCACAGGACCTCTGGAGGTGTACTGCAGCCACAGTTAATACAGACTTTAATGGAAATTTAGTGATTTTAATAGATTTCGACTTTGTGTTTTTTACAAATGAAGACACTTTATTGTGTAATATTGCTACCATTACAATTTCAGTGACCAGTTGGAGCTGGATGTGTCATTTAAAAGAGATTTTGTAAATGAAACTGAGCATTTTTATACATTAAATCCAACAGTTCATTCATCTTTATGATGTGCATCAAAGAAAGTGCTTCTAATCTCTGTAAAAAAGCACAATCTGATTAACTGCTTCTGGTTTTTACTTTTCCTTTCCTCCAAGCATCATAAAAAACAAACATGAATCTAATCTGGTCACATTTGGAGGAAACTTCATATTCAGAAGCCGCCAAAATGCTTATGACTAGCTAACATTATTGTCCAAAATTAGACTTAAGCAAAGTGAAATTTACCAAAATTCTATTTCAAAGGTGTTTTGTTCCTTTGTAAAATTTGAAAATATGGCAACAATTAGCATAACGTATTAAGGTAACTGCAAATCTAAAAGCTTCAGATTTTTAATACTTTGAAGCCAATTCAAGCCAATCAGTGAGCCAGTCTAATTTCTGATTAGTGGTAAAACCTTTCTAGATATTTGTTCAAGGCAAAGCAGATGATAGTAATAAGAAATCTAAAATATATATATATATATACATTTGCCTTGGTAAGTTTTAGACTCTTATAGTTACCTTTTTGTGTAAAATATAGATTTTAAATATACAATTACCTTGCTTTAAAAAAAGAAACAAATGCAGATGCTATAAGACAAACCAGAACCGGCCTGAACCGGTCAGAACCGGTTCCGACCGGCTGCTGATTTTCATGTTGTATTCTTAGACTGATCTCATGATTTAAAACTTGAAACTGCAACACAAATGGATTATTAAATTATATATACATATGTAAAAAATAAAGATGTACAAATATTTATTAATCATAACTAGTTATTAAAACTATGAAAAGAAAAAGGAATAAAATAATGCTACAGTAAGTTCAAGCCTTTCTTTGTAAGATTTAGTTTTTTTTGTAATATTTTCAATCCTTCAATTAAACCCTCCCGTGTTATAAGTATCATTAATATAATATCCCTGTAACCAAATACCTCATTTACTTGTCATCCAAATGGTTGAGATGCTAACCCATTGTTAGCTTGTTAGCTTCTAGCGAACTAAAGATGATGGATGTGAAGACTTTAAATTTGGAGAAATGTTTATTTAAAGCTTTATTAGTTGTTGATTTCCTGTAAAATGAAGTTGTATTAATTGTGGCTCAGACATCTTGTGTTTTTAAATTATATTTTAAAATACCATATATAGAAAGTAAATGTTGCCCAGCGAGCAACACAAAGACGTTAATCCAGTTTGACTTCCTGAAACTTCAGGAACAAACGTTTAAGTTTAGGATTTGTTTTCACATAAAGTCTTGACTTATTTTAAAGGTGCAGTTTTAAAAAATGCCACGATAAGCCTTTTAATTTTTCCGTTTTAGTTGTTTTTGGTTTGGCTGAGGTCTCTTCATTTATCCACACGTCGTTTTAAGCCAGTTAGTCGGAAGCGAACCAGATTGGTTCTGGTTCTGTTAAAGGAATCCGGAGGGAAAAGTCGGATCCACGTTTTCGTTTTTTGCTGTGAATTTTTTTCTTCTCTTCATTTTTATCATTTCCTACCAAAATAAATCCCAAACAAACGACTGGTAAATTTTAATGAGTCATTGCGAAGTGACGATCTTCCTGCCTCCGATCTTCGTAAAATCCGACGTTTCCCTCTGAGTTTTGTTTTTTACTCTCTAAATATTTTCATATTCAAACTGTGAAAAACAGCCAAACCTCATCAGCCACATCATCACCCGGACTCCATCTTGTTTTTTTTTGGTAACTCTGCTTTTCTACAACATGCCAAACTTTGTTTTCTTGTTTCTTTAGCTCAAGTCTGAAACTACTTGCTTTTTAATATTTTTTACTGTGTGAATTTAATGTTTAGTATAAATAATATACAGTAACTTTGACCACAATATGCCTAATTATAAATCAAATCATTTAAACATAATCACTTAATGAGATTACTCCTTACTGTTGATTCCTCAAAGTATATCCTAATATATTGAAGCAGAAAATGAAATTTAGTGAATGAACTTTTAATATTGTACTTTTTGTTTGTTTTTAAGGAGGTACCTGACGAGCTCTTAATAGATGAACCTGAAAGGTTTTATGTGAAGCTCTTATGTTGCATGTGTCTATTGCTAAATCATGTTGGAAATAGGGGTGGGAGGGGGGTTGTGTGTGAAGGCCAAAGGTCGATTAGTTTAAGTAAAAAAAAAAAAATGTGAAGAAGCTTCTTTCACGATGACCACTAGATCACTCACAGGTTGTTTCTCCTCCAGAGGAAATAAAGCACTTTAAGTGTAAAGCTGCAGTGACTCTCCTTTTCCTTTCTTCATATTTGAACTGTTACCATATTATGACGGTCTGAAGGCTGAAACAGTTGCCTTAAGTCAGAGGCCTACTCAGTGGCTGGAGTACTGACTGCTGCTGGAGATCCTTCCTGACCACAGCATCACCATTTCCATCGACATGTTTCAGATTCTTGGATGAGACGAGTCACGGCAAATAAATGACTAATTAAACCAGAAGAAAAGTCGTAAAGAAGATTTAAGAATAAAGAAAGATTACAAGGAAAAGTCGTCAGAGTTAAGAGAGTGAAGTAATATTAACAGAATAAAGTCACAATACTACAAGAATAAAGCAATGCAAGAATAGTCATAAAAATATGAGAATAGTCATAATAATGCTAAAGTAAAGAATATATTCAGAATAAAGCTGTAGTATTAGGAGAATGAAGTATGAAATATTTAAAACATTTAATTTGCTTTGGGTATAAAGTATTTCTGAATTTAATACCAGAAAATTAGAGTTTAAATCCATTCTGGAAATATTAAGTAAATAATAAACTATCGCAGACGTTGGGCCAGAAATTCAGAACCGTTTTTATTTTTTCAATTATTTTTTTATTCTGTGTATTTTTTATTAAACTGTCAGAAACTTCAGTTTATTGGATCCAAACAAAGAAGGATTTTACATTTACAGGGACAGAGGAGCTGGAATCAAACCATTAAAGTGGCCTAGTCCAAGTCTAGTTGAAAATCAACATTAGGTATTCAAAGTAAGTTTAATATGTGAATGTTTTATTTGAGATCTTCTGCAGCTGCATTATGTTTGTTTCTGGTGCCATCGAATCCAGAAACCCTCCTGACCTCTGGATGATTTCTACGCGGCGGCGTTGTTTTATCGGCGGGCGTCATTGCTGGCAGGGGTCGGCCACGCGGCCGACGAACAGCAGCGTGTTCAGCGTCGACTCTCTGATGATCACCAGGAACGGATGATCGGCCAGAAAAAACTCCCGGTCCAGGTTCAGGGAGCGTCCGACGGCGACCACGGCGGTGGAGGCGGCGGCTTCGCTTCCCTCCTCGTTCACCTAGAAACCAAAAACAAGCCCACACAGATCAGATTAAACTTTAACTAGACCAATTGGCAGCAGTTTGAATGAAAACAAACAGAAAACATGAACTTTGTGTTCCTGACCTCCAGGAAGGCTTTGTGGTAAGCTTCAGAGATAAACAGGGAGTCGCTGCCGTCCTCCAGGATTCCTGAAAAAACACCTGATTATTATTGTTTCATAAATATAATCAATAATTAATGTGTTTTAATCTGCAACACATTTGACTAAAAATGTGTTGCACTGGAACTGAATTTCACTGATTTTTTTCATTTCAGTGTGAAATATTCAACTTTAACCTGAAATCTGCTTAAAGTTGTAAAAATACCAGACTAAAGTCATGAAGTTAGCCGAATAAAGTAATAAATAAATATAACAAAATTTCTGAAAAATAAAATGCTGAATAAATGTATCGGTTATAAATCAGGAAATCATTAAATTACTGATTTTTTATTCTGCTAATACTATGAAATTATTCTAGTAATTAAAAAGAAACTTTCTTTGGTTTCTATGGGGATTGGTTCTGGCCCAGGTTCTGGTTCTGTTCCAGGTTCTGGTTCTGTTCCAGGTTCTGGTTCTAGTTGTGTTTCTAGTTCAGGTTCTAGTTGCCTTCCTGGTTCTGGTTCTGGTACCGGGCAGGCTGGCCCTGTCTGGGCTGAACAGGTCAGTCAGGCCCATCTGCTCCAGCTTGTCCTTCAGGCTGAAGCTGTCCTCCACCCTGAAGCGCGGGACGGAGACGGACACGGTGGTTTCTCTCATCTGGTCCAGCCAGACCTTCAGCTTGTTCTGGTCCAGATTCTGCTCCACCTGAACGGAAAAACTCACTAAATAATCCGACATTCATCCGATTCTTTCGACAAGAACTGATTTTCGCTCCTGGTCGGAGGTTCAGCTTGTGGCTGCAGTGTGTGACTTTTATTTTAAAAAATCCTTGTTTACATGTTTGTTGTTGTGACAGTTTGATAAACACAAATCATCTGTGAAAAAAATTGTTTCCCAGTTAACTAAAAACAACCAATCAGAGCCAGGAGGCGGGTCTTAGCGCTGCCAATCACCCTTTGTATATTATGAGTGCTAATGCCAGTTAGCTTAGCCACCAATGATGGATAAATGGATTTCCTGTAACGGTGGGTTGTTTCTGTGATATAAGCACAATTAGCAGCATGTTCATGAGGATGATTGACAGCACTAAGGCCCTCCTGTTGGCTCCGATTGGTTGTTTTTGGTTAATTTCTTCAAACAGCAGCTTAGGCAGGATGTAGAGGAGATCGATCTTGTCACAGATTATTTGTCTCATAACAAACAGATTTAACAAATATCTGTTAAATTATAAAAGTTACATACTGCAGCTTTAATGTCGATGTTCAGAAGTCTGACTCGTTTGTTTTTTTTGCCCCAATGTTGGCAGAAATGCTTCACCAAATGTCTCAGGTAATCTCTACCTTCAACTCATCACCTGTTTCCTCGCTCTAAACTTCCACCTCAATTCAATTCCAGTAGCTTCTGGCTAACAAATGTTTTTTATGTTTTCATTTCTCTGCAATACTTCTGAATTTATTTACAGCCTCAAAGCTACCAGATCGTTTTCTCTTTGTGGAGGAGGTGACGTCGTCTACCTGACTGAGCGGATGGCCTTTGTTTGGCAGGATGATCACCATGGTGATGTCGTCTCCTCGGTACGGCATCTCCAGCAGCTGCACCTTCTCCTCACGCAGGTCCTTGTAGTTGAACTTGATCTCCTGGTACATCATGGGGACCTCGCAGCTGCGACTCTCATCCACAAAGAAGTCTGACGTTGTCAGGCTGTCTTTGGAAAACTTGTTTTTCCACAAACCCTGCAAGGGAAACAAAAACTGTCGCTCAGTGTTCAGGAACATCAGATTATCTTTGTATGCAGATGATATCCTGCTTTTTGTCTCTGATGTCCTAAAACAGATTCCTATCCAGATTGCTTTATCTTCACGACTTTAACAACCTTGAAGTAGATGGTGTTGACAAGAACCAGAACGGTGTTGGAGTCCAAGGCGCCGGACGGCAGCGTGTCCTGGATTCTGTTCTCCGTCTTGTTGGAGATCCAGTCGTTGATGGTGATTCGAGCCGCCTCCGGGTTTGCCTGCCAACAGAGGAGTTACTGGTACTGATCCAGTTTGACTTGAAAACCAGCAGATTCCTTATATGAACTCTATCAAGATTTTTGGAGCACAAACCAACATCATCTGCATAGAGGGTAAAATTCTCAGCAAAATTACAACAGGGCAGGACAAACAAAGTTCAAAATATTAAAGGAATTTAAGAAAAATAATTTTATTGTGACTATAAATTAAATGATTTATTCCTAATTTTATGATAATAAATTATAATTTTTAAGTATAATTGAACAATAATCACTTTTATATAATTGTAATTCATTTCAATCAATCAATCAAATTTTATTTGTATAGCACATTTCAGCAGCAAGGCATTTCAAAGTGCTTTACATCATAAACACAAAACACAAAGGCATGCAACATAGAATAAAATACCAAGTTTTTTTTTTTCCCTTTTCCTTTTCTTCCCCTTTTTCCTTCTTTTTCCCCTTCTCTCCTCTTTCCCTTTCTTCCCCCTTCCCTTTGACACGGAATTTGAGCGCCTGTTACCGCCGGACTCCGCCGTCCGTTTAACCACGGGTATTCGCCGTGGTTTCCCACAACAGGAAAAAAAAAAAAATTATTACATACATATCCACAAAATCAAATCCATACATGTTACATTTCAAATGCAACTCTAAACAGGTGCGTTTTTACTTGAGATTTGAAGGAAGTCAGGGTTTCTGCTGTTTTACAGTTTTCTGGAAGTTTGTTCCAGTTTTGTTGCATAGATGCTGAAAGCTGCTTCTCCTCTCTTGGTTCTGGTTCTGGATGCAGATCAGAACCAGAACCAGAACCTGAGAGTCTGGAAGGTTGATCCAACAACAGCAGATCTTTGATGTATTGTGGTGCTAAACCGTTCAGTGATTTGTAAACTAACAACAGTATTTTAAGTCTATTCTTTGAGCTACAGGGAGCCAGTGGAGGGACTTTAAAACTGGTGTTATGTCTCTATCTTCCTGGTTCTAGTGAGAACGCGAGCAGCAGCATTCTGGATCAGCTGCAGCTGTTTGATTGATTTGTTGGACAGGCCTGTGAAGACGCTGTTACAATAAATCAATGAGACTAAAGATAAACGCATGGATGAGTTTCTCTAGATCTGGCTGAGACATTAGTCCTCTAATCCTGGAGATGTTCTTCAGTGATAGAAGGCCGATTTTATTTTATTTTATTATTTATAAAAATAAATATAGTCTACTCTAATTTAGCAAAAATGCTGTTATTTTTTTTTTGTTTTTAACAAGAAGTGAAACTCAATTAACATTTTTAATTAAGTTAACTGCAAGGTCTTAATTAATTAATTAATTAATTGCATTTTAATTGAAAACCATTACAGAAATACAGGCAACTTTTTAAAATTTAAAGTTAAGTTTTGAGATTAATATTTTGAAAAAAAAAATATTTTGAAAAGTCAAACATTTTTGATTTTTGAAACTCGGAAAATGTAAAAGTTTTTTCTAAAAAATGTCTTTTTTTTCCAGAAATCTACTCCTTTTTTGATTTTCCGTCCACATTGGCCTTCATATGGCATCATAGATGTTTATTTATTCAATAATTTAGCAGCAGAAATGGTTTTTGAATTGAAAACGTTGCTTGTTTTGTCTAACATGGTTTTCAATTAAAACAATTAATTATTAGACTCTGCAACCTGTGTTTAAAAAGTGATTAATTGCGTTAAAAATTTAGAATAGTATTAATTTGTTAATCAAAGAACATTAGACAAAGAAAAACATATTTAATATTAAAGTATTAACTTCCTGCCCAGTGGAAATGTTTTGTTTCAGCCTGTGAAGGTTTCCAGTAGTTATTAATCTGGAGACATTTTGAAACGGTTGGATAATTTCTGACGTCACCTTGAAGTTGAGAGGCATGAGTTTGGCTCCGTACACGGTCTCGCTGATGTTCTGGTACGTCTCGTTAAAGTAGAGCGACTTGTCCCCGAACAGGCGGTTGGCGGAGACCAGCAGCGTCGTTTTGTCTTTCTTCCTGTACAGTCGGCAGTTCAGTTTGGCGAAGAAGAAGTGGATCATATCTGATGTTTTCTCCTTGATGGTGTCAAACTGAAACACCTGCAGATGCAAACATCGGGTCGGGTCAGAGTAAACTACTGACTGGATGTGGAGCAGAATCAAATGTCACCTAAATTTTTATTCACTTTTCTTTAAATGTTAGTTTTAAAATTTGGGCTTAAAATCATTGAATCTTAAAAATAGGATTTGTTTTATTAAACCCACAAAAATATTCTCAATGTGATTTTTGTCCAATTTTTACCTGGTCAATACAATAAAAAAATGTTTTAATTAAATAAAAGAAATGGATTTATTATTTTTTTTAGCTTAGCACTTTCTTAATTTTGTTGTAATTTTTTCAAATTAAATTCTAAAGCGATAATTTTCCTGACTGCTTTGTAAACTTTCTGCTGAGTAAAGTTTGACATCCGTGTTGAAGTTTTGGGTTTTAGCTGTTAAAATTATTTAAGTAGTTGGGCTTTTATACACATGCTTTTATTTTGAAGTGTTTAAGTAGTTCTGCTTCCTCTCCTCACTACTTCGCCATTTAGTGTTAGCAGAACCAATGTTTATGATTAGCTTTTTAGCATTAGCTCTTGCTAAATATCTTGTGGATGTCGCACTTTAGCATTAGCAGGACCAATGTTTATGGTTAGTATTGCAGCATTAGCTTCTGACAAATACCATGTTGCCATAATGCTTAATGTTAGTGAAGCTAATGTTTATGACTAATACATTAGCATTAGTTTTACTAAATTTTCTGATGGTGCAAAATTTTAGCATGATCAGAACTGTTATGATTAGTGCTTAGCATTAGCTTCAATTGATACAATGATGGTGTAACGCTTTAGAGTTCATTATTAGCTTCTGCTAAATATTGTGTTGGTGTAGTTGGTGTGTTTATGAACTATTTATGATTAGCTTTTTAGCACTTGCTTCTGTAACTATGTTGGTGTAGCTCATGATTAGTGCTTTAGCATTAGCTTAATCTAAATATCATGTTGGCTTAGTGCTTCAGCATTAGCAGAGCTAATGTTTATGAGTAGCGCTTCAAGGTCAGTGCAGCTCGCTGTCCAGTTAGCGCTAGCCACCTGTGTGCTAATGTTGGAGGGATTCCGACCTTCATGATCTGCTCCAGTGTCTGGTTGCAGGCTCCCAGTTTGGTCATGGCGAAGGCGGTGGAGATGCTGAGGGGCGACATGAAGATGTTGCTGTCTGGCGTCCGGCTGAGGGCCAGCTGCTTGTACAGGGCCAGGGCGAAGCGGCCGTTAGCCTTCGACAGCTCCCACACCCTGGGGTTGACGGGCCGCGGCTCCGGGGTCGGTTCGCCGGCCTCGTCCAGGTCGGGGCTGCGGTAGACGCAGCGCGGCTCCAGGGCGAGGTCTCTGGGTCGGGCGCTACAGATTTCCAGAATCTGCGCACTGCAAAGCAACGGCAACAATGCCAGAAGCAACCAGCAACTAGTTGTCCTCATCCTGGATGGAGGAGAGATTAGCAAACCAATTTAGGAAACCAGGAGATTTCAGAAACGATGAAGGTGCCAAAACTTTGTAGCAAAGTTAACCAGAATAAATGCAACCTGGAAATGTAATTAAATCATGAAAAACACAGCAACCGTCTCTATCGCAGCAACTGTCTCTATCGCAGCAACTGCCTCTAACACAGCAACTGTCTCTAAACAGCAACTGTCCCTAACACAGCAACTAAAACAGCAACTGTCTCTATCGCAGCAACTGCCTCTAACACAGCAACTGCCTCTAAACAGCAACTAAAACAGCAACTGTCCCTAACACAGCAATTGTCTCTATCACTGCAACACAGCAACTATTTTAGGGACAACACAGCAACTAAAACAGAAACTTTCCCTGAAACAGCAACTGCTCCTAAAACAACTGTCCATAAAACGACAACTGTCTCTAAACAGCAACTTCCTTGAGCCAATGTATTTAACAGTTGCAGAAACAACCAACCTAAAACCACATTGACCTTAAACTTATGACTTTCAGCCCCGAAACAAAACAAACAAAAACATGAATGTTTTGAAGTGGCCTAGTTAAAGCCTGGACTTGATTCCAGCCTTTAGCTAGGCCAGTGTGGGAACCCCTCCAATGCGGCTGAATCACAGCAGAGTGACGATAGAGACTTTGGATATCAGCTGCTCCTTCTGACGTTTGGTGTTTCTCAGACGTTCAGGCTGCGTTGCTGTTCTAACAAAGTGAGCAATAAAGTTTTTATCTTTTGGATTTCAGTCGGACACAAAAAGAAGATTTTCCTTCGCTTATTGATCAGAAACTTGAGGTAAACAACAACAGATTGGAGTTATAGATCAAACATCAATGAGGTCAAAGTGCTGAAGTTCAAGTAACTTTGAACATGAAAAACATAAAAAAAATCCCAAAACAAATGATCCAGAATTGGATCAGAACCAGAATCATTCTGCTAAAAATGAGGAATTTACCTGAGCAGGTTCGGTGCAGCGAGTCCAGGAGGAGAGAGCAGTCTGAGCTGCAAACAGGTCACTGTCCTGCAGAGCAACCGCAAACCCACTTCAACCTTTGAAACGACGAACCCCTCCGGAACCGATCAATACCTGAACGGGTCGGAACCGAAAGCCCCACGCAGGAACCAAACTGTATCAAACTGCACTGAAACTGCTTCAGCTGCTTTAACATTTAAATGCAGAAAATAACAAACGCTGCTTTGGGGATGACTTTAAGTCTGAATAAATAAATAAAAAGGTGAAATTGAATTTTTCAGGTCAAATATGTATTTATGTTATATTTATTCTGGGAACAGGAAACTTTGGGCTGAAAATTTTAAATTTGGGTAAAAATGTGGCCGTTTCTGATTTTAATTATTATTTTTTGTCTAGTTTCATCTGAAAATGTCTTAAAATAAAACAAAACTATCTGAGAAACTTTTGACCAAATAACTTCACAAGAAATTGTTCGACTTTATACATTTTTAAAGAAATCAAAATTTATATTTCTGGATGGGTGGTCCAAAAAAATGAAAAATATTAAAAAATCCACTAATAATTTCTGTGTTTTGAGACTAAAATATTGAGAATATTTTGTTCATTTTTAATTTATAAATGTTTTTGGAAGGATTTAAAAAGTGGATCTGATGTGCAGGTTTATTTTTCTGTAAACATTTGATAAGATGAAAGTTGCTGCTGTAACAATTAAATAAAAATACAGAAATAATTTACTTCAGGATAAATATTATACTTAAAGCAGAGCTAAATGTAATGGATATATTATTTATGTTCATAAGAATGAAAGGTGGTCTTGTAATAATTTATGCCATAGTTTGTTTTGATAAATTATACTTTTTTGTTTTCTGTAGTTAAACATCCAGAAACAATTTATTTAAAATCTGAAGCAAATTTTATTTGTGAAATTAGAAATATTAAAAAAGTGCAGAAGACTTTTCACATAAAACCAGAAAACAAAAAAATAAGATCAGCTGATCTGACCGGGTTCTGGTTCTTAGACTTCATCTAAAGTTCACAGGTATTAAAGTAAGTCCAGGTTTGGTTCTGGTTCTGTTGGGTCAGAACAGCTTGGGCAGCTGCCTCAGGCGGCTCAGGTCCAGGATGTTCCCGACCGATCCCTCCGGCTGCGGCCCGTTTGGACCGGTCCGGCCCACCGGCACCGTTCGGTTTTCCTTCTCCTCGCCAGCGCCGGTTCTGGTTCCGGCCAGCAGCTGCATTTTGGGCCGCAGCTCCCGGATCAGCTGACTCTGTGGGAGGGACTTCAGGTTCAGCGCGTCACTCAGCGGCTGCCGGGCCTCCTGACCTTTGACCTCTTCTTCATCCTCCTCCTCTTCCTCGATCAGGCCGTAGCGCCTCATGTACTTCCTGGTGGCCAGGGACATGTTGCTTGGCGACAGTAGGGAGTCGCCGCCGCCGGAGGGGGCGTGGCCTCCCAGGGACAGCCTGCTGAGCTGTGATTGGCTGAGGTAGCGCAGGGCGATGGCGTTGGCCTCCAGGCTCAGGTCCACGCTGCCGTCGGCGAACAGATCACTGCCCGTTGCCTCGGAGACGCTGAGCCTAGAGACGACGGCCGCTGGGTCGATGGTCGCCAAGGTGCTGGCGGAGAGAAAGAACTGGTCAAAGGTCAAACGTCACCTATTGATTGTAAATACAGCAACTTTAAATGAGAATGTTACCCTCAATGCTGATGATAAAATGATTAAACAGGAATTTTATAGCACAATCCAGTAACTATGTTACCTTCAGATGTTATAAAAATGCTACATATATCCAATATAACTTGAAATTGGGCTGCTGCCCCTTTAAGAAGCTTCTGCTCTTTCTGAAGCTCCGCCTGCAGGAAGTAATTCCAACATGGCTTCTCTTTTAACCCTTTAATCTTTTTACCAGCGTTGCTCTGAGCAGCAGCTCCTATCATGAGCTCAGCAGCTGTTTGCTAATTGCTGCTGGCTAGTCTACAGGGACTGAGGAGCTGCACCTGGAAGGCGGGGCTAAGTTCACCCAGGCGTTTTGCACTGCCGAATGGTTGCCATGGAGATTGAAGAACTAATCCTCCAGGTTTGTTTTTGATGAGGGAAAAACGTTAAAACATGAGTGGATTTTACGTGACACTGCCCCTTTAAATAGTTAGAACAGTGTAGTGTTGCTAGCTTCATGCAGTGACGTCTTATAACCCTGTATAAACCAGCAGTCATCCAGGTGAGACCGGTACCTGGCCATCTCCACCGCTCTGATTCGGTTCTTGTCCAACTCCGTCAGATTTTCAGTATCCATGGCGACGCCGAGCTGCTGCAGCCGCCGCAGCGTCGCTCGGGTCACTGCGTCACCGTCTGGACTCCTCTTCTTCTTCTGGTCCCGCTTCCTCTCGGATGAGGACAGCTGGGAGGACTGGGAGTGGTGGGGGGACTGGGAGTGGTGGGAGGACTGGGAGTGGTGGGGGGACTGGGAGTGGTGGGAGGACTGGGAGTGGTGGGGGGACTGGGAGTGGTGGGAGGACTGGGAGTGGTGGGGGGACTGGGAGTGGTGGGACTCAGACGGGCTCTTCCTGTTGCAGCCGTCCTCTGCTTCCTGTCTGCTGTCCGATTCCTGCAGGCGGCTGCTGAGCTGAGTCTGAGGAGGAAGAAGATTCATCAGAACCGGGCCGCTTTTGGTTCCGATCCGATCAGAAAAGTGGTGTTACCATCAGGTTCTGGTAGAAGCTCTGCTGTTCTGCTGGAGGTCCGTACATGCTGACGCTCTCTCCCAGAACAGGACTCTGCAGGCCGCTGGTGCTGGACAGAACCAACAGAACACAGGTTACAGATCAGCAGTACCGGTCCGATCAGTGAAACCGGGCCGATATTTACGACCATCTTGCTGCAGTTTGTTCTTCAGGAGGGGGCTGGTCATGTGATGTTTGTTTGGTCATGAGCAGTGATGCAGTGAAGGATTGTGGGTAGTTTAACAGAGGCAGCGCTGGCGGTCTGGTCGAGTTTCTGTGATGTCAGAAGGTTTGGGAGAAATATTGGCCAGAACAGCATCATTAAACCCAGACACACTGATCCCAACCAAAACTTTACTGAAGAATCTTTTTATTCATTGTTCATACATATTGTAGACATGTTGGTAGCCTTCTCCTGACTGATACCTTTGCTACCGGTTTATGATGATGAATCACCAAAACTGCAAATCAGAAATTATATTTAGTGTTTATTCTCCCTGGAAGGCAATCCTGACCAATCAGAAACAAACTTACTGAAACCTCCTTCACTTCCTTAAAGCTGCAGTTTGTAACTTTTGATGTATTTATGAAAACCGTCTCCATTGTTATGAGATCTCCTCCTCCCTGAACTGTTGTTGCTGTCTGAAGAAATGCACCAAAAACAACCAATCAATAACAGGAGGAGGGTCTTAGCGCTGTCAATCAATCTCATGAACACATTGCTAAATAGCGGAGAAACAACTTATCATCGATCTGCCATAATTGGTGGCTATGCTAACTAGTCTGAGCCTTCATCACAGGCTGTGTAGAGGGTGATTGACAGCGCTAAGTCCCGCCTCCTGGCTCTGATTGGTTGTTTCTTGTTAGCATAATAATGTAAAAAAAAAAAAAAAAGAATTGTAGTAAAAGTTACATTCTGCAACTTTAAGAACAGAGACTCAACTGGACTGTTCAGGTCGTCTGCCCAGTATAAAGCCACCTGATACCAGTTGATCCCAGTGGGATCCTGCTGTCTACCTGCGGGGGTCTACCTGCGGGGGTCTACCTGTGGGGGTCGGATGGGGAGCAGCTCACTCCGTCCTCTGGCTTGTGCAGCAACAGGTCATGTGATGAGGTGGAGGCGCTGGTGGAGGATGAAGGCGGGGTTCTGGGGTCGGGTTTGGGTTCTGGTTCCTCCTGCAGCAGCGTCAGGTCGGGACTTTGACCCCAGAACAGACTGGCGCCTGCAAACAGCAGCGGCTTCAGAGGAGGAAACAGGTGGAGGTGAGAGCTGCTGGGAGGGGCAGGCTCACCCGTTCCCACTGCGACGCTGGCGGTGCTCCTGGGCGTCGCCGGTTGGACCTGCGGCCCGGAGGTCTGCAGCTTCCTCTGGGCCTCCAGCAGCATCTGGACCTGCAGGAGACAACCGGAACACCTGGAATCTGACACTGCATGTTCTGATCCGATTCTGTACTAGCTTCACCTGATCCAGAGATCAGAGCAAAGCTGTTTTTATACAACAAAGCAGAAACAAGTAAAGACCTACAATAAGTCCTGATGTAGAGAATAAAGTCGTACGACAGAAAAATAAAGATTTAATCTTATTAGCAAAGAAAGATTCCATCTTGAAAAAGATGGAATCTTTAAAGTCGTAATATCAAAATAATCAGAATAAAGTCGTAATGACATGAGAAAGTTTTTGCATTAAACTCGTAATTTATAAGAACTCCTACACCAAAAATAAAACTGGGAATATTCTGGATGCTTTGGATCTGTGCTCTGTTGGGAAACCCATCAAGCTGTTGAGTTTTTAAAGATGGCTTCTTCCTCTCCAGACCCTCAGCATGACGCTGCCGCAGCCAAGGAGCTGCAGTTCTTACCTGAGCCTGCAGGAGGCGCAGCTGTTGGTCCTGATGCAGCAGCAGCTGGTAGGTGTCAGAGGTCAGGACTCCGCCCACTTTGTCACAGCAGGGATTCCCACAGGGGGGGCGAGCGAGGGAGGGGGGGCCTGCGTGCCACATGGGGGCAGGAGGAGCGAGGCTGATGGGAGGAAGAGGAGGAGTGGAGGGATGGCTGCAGGGAGGAAGAGGAGGAGTGGAGGGATGGCTGCAGGGAGGAAGAGGAGTCTGTTTATAGGAGCAGGAAGGAGGAAGAGGAGGAGTTTGCTGTTGAGAGGAGAAAGGAGGAAGAGGAGGAGTGGACGGATGGCTGCAGGGAGGAAGAGGAGGAGTGGAGGGATGGCTGCAGGGAGGAAGAGGAGGAGTGGAGGGATGGCTGCAGGGAGGAAGAGGAGGAGTGGACGGATGGCTGCAGGGAGGAAGAGGAGGAGTGGACGGATGCTTGGGGTTGTAGTGCTGTGAGGAGGCGAGGGGCGAAGATGCTTTCAGAGAGGAAGAGGGAGCAAGAGGAGCAGATTGCTGGATGCGAGGTGCATCGGCAGCAGGGAGGAGCACTGGCGAGGGGAAGATGGAGGTGCAGTTGTGGGCGGAGCAGCAGGCGCAGAGCTGCTGCAGGTTGGAGTTCGGTGTGCTGTGGAGGTGAGGAAGAGGAGGAGGCTGTGCCGCTGATGAAGCGGCGGTGGGGGAAGCCGGCTTCCTGTTGGCTGGATGCCGCCGGTGGGCGGGGCCAGAGTGCTGCCCGCCGCTGTGATTGGAGGAGAAGCTGCCGTCGATCAGCAGGGAGAGTTCAGGGACGGACGGCTGGACGTGGCGAGCCTGGAACCGAAACGAACGGCGGCATCGTTACAGGAAGTGAGAGTTGCCTAGCAACACAAACAACCTTCCAGCTTAATTTCCACCAAAAAAACACCAGTTATGTGTTTTTTTAAGAAATTGAGCTTTTTTTCAGAAGCACTAGGAACTCAAACAAAAAAAAAAGGCCAATAAAATGTGAAATTTGCATTTTGGTTCCTTTAAATGTTTTTCATTTAGTTGTTATAAAATAAACCTGAGGAAACTTTGGTGCATGGTTTGGTTGTAATGGTATCTGCGGCTCTAATGGCCGAGTGTGTCCAGTCGGCTGAAGGGAGTTTTGTTTAATCACAATAAATATTGAATTTTCTGTGTAATGAAATGCCGACACGGATCTTTAGAGGCTCCAGCTTGGAGGGCGAATCCACCTGAGCTGCTGGAGGGTGGGGGCTCGGCGACGGTCGGGGAGAAAAGTCCTCATCCTCGACTCCAGAGTCCTGATCGCTGACGGACGGACCGGCAGCAGGAGGCGTCGCCCTGCCAACAGAACCCAACATCAGCGCCACACTCTTCTTCTTGGTCCGATTAGACGAAGCGTTTCTGACCTGCTGAAGGCGCTGTGAGCCGCTCTGAACGCTTCGTCCTGCCTGCTGGGATCCACCGGGCCCAACTCGCACCGCAGCGCCCCACCGTCCACCGGCGCCACCTGCTGACGGGACACGTTGTTACCCGGCACCTCGACCCGTCAGGCCCAGAAACCAGTACCGGTGGATACCTGGTAGAGCGTGGCGACCTGGGAGGCCGTCAGCAGCTGGAAGTCCAGCTGGGCTCCCGGTCCCGGTCGGGAATCTCGGCACTGGAAGAACTGAGGGGTTCTGTGGGTGGAGCCAAACACGACCAGGAGGAAGCAGCCGAGCTCAGACAGAACCCTGGAATGGAGCAGAGACGGGTCAGCAGAACTACGGCCTGGAAACGTTTAACACATCAAACTGTCGTCAGGCACAAACAACCGAGTCCGTTCAGAAACAGCAGACAGAGGAGACAGAGTCCCACCCCTTTACTATGCCGCCCTGGAGAGAGAGGCTTCTAGGTCCAAATACGGTAATAACACAGTTTAATTGCATATAATATTAGAGCTGGCAATAATTATTGATTAATCTTTGGTTGTAAATATCTGACACACAGTCAACCTGCTGGTGTGATATTTCCTGTTTATCCGGTTTTACTTCCTTTGTTTTTTATCTTTAACCAGTTTTGAGATGCGGAGGCAAAACTTGGCCGTTGCTCGGTAACCAAAGTTGGGGGGGCTGCTTCTTACCCAGCAGGTTGTTGCTAGGCAACCAGAGAGGCTGTTGCTAGGCAACCAGAGAGCGACTTAGCTAAGCTAAGCTACCAACTTAGCTAAGCTAAGCTAGCCTTGAGAGGTTTCCTCTGCCTACATCTCCCAGAATGCCGTGGCTCAGAGTTCAGTTCAGTGAATCAACTCTATTATCTATTGATATATAGTTATTGATTTATTGTCCTTCCATTTGGTTCTGAATTGTTGTAAAAAAAGAATCAGGATTGATTTTTCTGTCTCACCTTCCACAACCAGAACCAGAACCAGAACCAGAACCCTCACCTGTCCTGCAGGGCGGAGCCGAACATGAACCTGAGGCTCCAGGCCCAAACCTGAGGGTTGTAAGCGTGTGTGATGCTGCTCAGCCAGCTGATGAAAGAAAGATGGAAACATCAGTAAGCGGATTTTCATCGTCCGTTTCTGTGGATTTGAAAACATTTTTGAACCTACAGGCCGACGAGCGGCAGGCTGGAGGCTTTGGGGTCCGACTCCAGCAGCAGAACCAACTTTCTGCTCTGATCCATGGTCAGAAACCTGCCAGCAACACAAACGCATCAGCAGGAAGTGGCACCATCAGTGGATCGCAGTTTCAAAATAAAAGCAGTTTTACTGGGAACAATGGAAACACAAAATGTTCACTGATAAAAAAAATAATAAATTGGATTTTCCAAAAGTTAAATGCTTCAAAACCCAAATTTTAGTAATTGTTGAAATTGATTAATTTCCCAGCTGTAGGTCAGAGTAAAGCTGTTTGTCACCCTCTCTGCCGGCCAGCGGGGGGCGCCGGTCGGCCAACGCTCGTCAGCGACCTCAGCAGGGCGGTGGGTATGATAGGGATGGCGCGGACCGGCTGGACGTCCAGCGGGACGGCAGGACAGACGGCCGACCAGCTGAGGCTGAACGTGGCGGCGTCGGCCTGCTGCAGGCAAACAACGTGAACTTTGACCTTCAGCAGCTGGGACAGATCCAGAGTCTGTCTGCTGCTCACCAACTGCTGCAGCGCCTGAAACAACAGAAACGATCAGGATAACGTCCAACGTCTGGAGGATAAAGCTTCAAAAAATAAATAATAATATAAAAACCAGTTTAAACCCAGAAAAATTCAAGAACTTTCAGGTAAATTTTTAAACTTTCCATCAAACTTAAGAGATAAAAACAATACATATTAACTACAAAATAAAATATATTTTTATTATCTTCAAAAACTTGGTTTACTAAGTTTTCTAGATTTTGGCCTTTAATCAAACATTAGATTTCACTTTATCACAAACTGTGCAGGTTGAATTCCAAGCACTTTTGGAGAACTTTATGCAGAATTCAAAAACTTTCCAAACCTTGAAAACACCAAAATGAAATCCCAGCACCTGTACAAACCCTGGAAATCAACCAATCACCTTGAAGCAGTGGTGAAACTCAGCCTCTGATTGGACAACGGCATCATGTGGCATCTCGGGCTGAACCACGCAGGGGACCAGAACGTCTCCAGGAAGCAGAGCAGACGGCGCCGTGGTTCCGGCCTGGTCCCGACCCGGATCGAAGCGGTCCAAAGTCACGGTGACCCCATCCTCATCTGGGGTCACAGTAGAGGTCAGGACATGGAGCAGATTGTTAGCTAATCATTCGCAGGTTGGTAAGGGACCGTTAGAGGCTCGTTAGTGACCCAATAGCTAATTTTTGTGGCTCGCTAACAGACCGATCAATCAGGATGGGAACCGACTTTCACCTTCGTTCACAGAGAGTGACCCCAGGAGGAAACAATGGAGGCGGGGCTTGTTGCTATGGCGGGCGTGGCGCTGCGCCAGGCGCAGAGCTTTCTCCAGGAGGACAAGCTGAAGTTTCCTAGAAGGAGGCAAAGGTCAGAGGTCAGAGATCTTGGTTTTGTTAAAAGGTAAAACCCTGATTCACCGTTCTTATTATAAATAAGTTTGGTGGAATGTTTCAACCTAAAGCTGTAAGAAAATAATTACAGTCAAATTGTTTATTTAGTTGATTTTAAATCAAGCCTTCATAATTAAACTCCAATTAAATCTGAGCTAACGTAGCCTTAGCAACAGGTTAACGTTTACCTGTGGGAGCAGAGCTGGAGGCGGAGCTTCTCTCCTGCTGCGCTGCCGTCCCACAGAGCCAAGCGGGATTTAGGGAACGCCAGCTGAGCGAGGGAACCAACAGAGCGCCTGCTGGTTGGAAACAGGAAAAAGTCACATTTCTGGAAAAAAAAGTCATATTTCTGAGATTATAGTTACAATCATAAAATTAAAAAGTTACATTTCTGACTCTTCTCAAAGTTCTGAGAAATAAAGTCAGAATTACAATACTTTAAAAAGTATGAATTTTGAGTTATAACTCCGATTCTTTCCTCCGAGAATATTAAGAATCTGAGTTTTTACTCTTTTTCTCAGAATTCTGAGGGGAAAAAAAGATTAATTATTGAATTAAAATCAGAATACCAAGAACTAAATCAGATCAGTTACAATTTTAAGTTTACACTTAATCTCAATGTGTGACAAACAATAATAAATTCTAACATTGTAATCTTAAATTTCTTGGAAAAAAGTCAGAATTATGTGAATTTAAAACGTCACAATTCCGGGATTAAAGTAAAATCTTTAACATAACCACAAAATTATGAGTTCATGTCCCATAATTAAGAAGGTTTTATTTTAGAACTATTACTGTCTAATATTTATTCACTCACGGTATTTAGCTCGTGTTCCTCATATACAGCGCATTTTAACTAGTTTGCATTCAATGCATCCAGTTCTTGGCAACAAATTAATGTTCATAAGGGCTAAAGCTTTAAAGTTTTCAGAATATGTAATCTCCTGGATTTGGCTGCCTACTCTCATCCAGGCTTAACACACTTGTATGCTAAATATTTTATATTAATCTGTTTCTAACAATAATGAACAGAAATGGCTCAAACGCTGACATCTTGTTTTGGATGAAGGATTTGTAAACAGTGACGCGATTAAACCTCAGCGCTGCTCGGCTGTTTGTGGAAGTCATGACAGTTAAATCACCTTAACAGTTAAAAAAAACTCACTTTCTTCTCATGTTTTCTGGAGTGAAAACCTCCTGGAGAATTTCCCCGGGCAGGGCCTGGAGGTTCACCGGGTAGCTCATACTTGCTGAGGCCGGTGAAGGGAAGCAGTGAGCGGTGGAGGCAGGACGGTAACACCGGTGTCCCCGCGGCTAACGCCCGCTGCTAACTTCCCGCTCCGGCCGCATCGGCTCCGTGTCAGCTCCACGTACCGGACAAAGCTCCACTCCTTTGGAAGACTACTGGACGTAGGAGACGCTTTCCTCAAAATTTGTTTTCATCTTTGTTTGCTAGAATTTGTTTTTAAAAAAATAAAAACAAAAGTCCATTGATATCTAAAGACAAGCGCCGTTTAATTATGGCGCTGATTCTGCGTCGTACTGGCGGTGAAGGAATGGACCAATAAGAAATGTCCTCACATTCAGCCTGACCAATGAGCTTCTGCTTTGTTTCACGTCAGCGGTTGTCATCGTCGAATGTGGCAAACTATTACTCGACACTGCCTCCTGCAGGCTGAAGGAGAAATATTGTTTTTCAGATCCCTAACAGGATGTTGCTATGACAACATGATGGTTGTCAACTGCTTTCTAAGAAGTGCTGAAGTCCAGACCTGGTGGGACACCATCCTGAAACGTTTAGGTGGATCCTTACGCCAACAGACCGGGATCAGCTGTGAACTGGCCTGGTGAGGAGCCTGGAGGATGGGAACTCTGGAGGACTCTGGACTTGAGCGCCGCTGGGCAAGAAGGATGAGGCCATCACAGCACCAATAAATAACTGGAAACAAAACTCATACTTATGAAGTATGAAGTATCTGAAAGTGCCAATTCTAATTCAATAAGTAATACGACATCTGTTAAATAATACTTTAAATCACATTTTACTTTTAGTTTTTTATAATCATGACTTGCAAACGAATATTTTTGTTTAGTCATAAATAGTATTTTTTAATTGTATTTCACAATTCTATTTTTTTTTCCACAAAAAAATACATTCTTGAATATTTACAATTTTATTAATAAAGATTTGCAGATAATGAAATAATGCTGGGATTACTTTTTAAGATTAGTATCTGTAAAATTAAACATATAAATAAATAAATCTACAATGTAATTTCACTTCATGACAATTTTATTTTATTTTCATAAAACGTTTGAACTTTTTATATGGCACTATGGATTTTTGTGTCATGATGATTAAGAATTGTTTTTATTTATTAGTCATTAGGACCTAATCATTTACATTTTTCTTTTCTATAAACTTTAAGAAATCTGAAATATGTCCCAATCTAAACTGTACTACTTTTGGGTATTTTATAACAAGAACTTTGATTACCTCTTATTACTTTTAAATTAGAATTATGTCTCCTCATTAGAATTTAGTGAATTGTTATTTTTGCATTTCATAGGTACATATTTGTTCACAATAGTGACTTCTAAACTCATAATAACATTATTTCATAACCACTACTTTCATTTATTGTTAATATTTTTCATCTAATTACTGTGGTGAAATTTAAACTAACAGAAGGATTTTTCTGGACAAATTCTGACTTTCTACTTTATAATAATTCATTTTCTTAAATATCATAAGGACTTCTGAATTTATAATTATCTTTCATGTCATCATCACTTTACATTTATGATGTCCAAACAAATGAGTTTAAATCTTTTACTTGTGACTTTGAATCTCCTCAATATAACTTTTGATTGTGGCTTTTAATCTTGCAACTATGACATGGCTTTATTTTTAAATGTGTTTCCATGGATACAGGTGTTTAAAAATGCACCCTCTGAATTATTTGTGTACTGCTGGATCATTTACCATCACAGAGACTCATTTCCTGAAAAGCGACGCAGAGAGGAATTATTTATTAGCGTGTTACATGACTTGGCTGCAGCAGAGACCGAAACCAGCTACTGCTAAGGCAAAACCTTCAACTGGATCAGAACCTCTGTCACTTTGTAGTTTTAGTTCTCTAACATCCTGCCTCTAGGATCTTTGCTTCTCTTACATCAATGCACCAAGTTGAAAGGTGTTTTTCATCACTGCAATAGTCAAAAAGTGACTATACCTGCTGCTTTAGCATGTTTATTATGCTAAAATTGTTAATATTTTAGCATAAAATATTAGGCTAATATATTAGCCTAATATTAGCATAATATTCAAAGAACATTGAAATTTCACTGTTCTTTGTACATAGTTCAGGCAGTATGGAATAGAGAATTTATGGCATTTGGTAAAAATGCTGATAGAAATCCCCACAGGAGCAACTTCAGTCCTTTCTTAATCTCAGTTCCTCAAATATGACTTTTTGACGGTTGTCTGTACACAAACAGGAAGATCACATCTATGATCACAGGTTTTGTGACAGATCTCTGTAAAACAAGACTGTTTCCTGTTGTGTGTAGCAGTCCTACCACTTCTAATTTTTCTCTCTATTACATCCAGTTTCTGTTGATTTCTATTATGAGTTTGTTTTTCTTTGGAATCGTTCTAATAGTGCCAATTACTTTATGCATTTAGAGAAATTTGAATAAATAGCACTCCATTTAATTTCTGACAGTAGATAAAGAGACAATGCAAATAAGTTTAAATTTTCTTTTTCACCAAAGTTTATGTGTGTAAACAAAAACGTCTAATTTTGCAATATTTCACTTGGAAGGGACAATTAGAAAACCTGTCTGATGGCTATGACTAATTTTACAATTTAGTTTTAATCTAATTTTTACAGTACTTAAACTTATATTTGTGGGGATTTTATAAAGAGGCATTAACGGGCTTCCATACTTTTGGGGGTCGCAGATTTGCGTTTGTTGTTTTTTCTTGTTTTTTTTTCCGGGACAACGCCCACTACCAAAGCAGGCCCTTCAGAGGTTTACATCTTCTTTTGTATAGACGATCTCTGATCTTTGGAACGTATCCTCTTTGTTGTTGCGCGTTAGCCAATCCCCACTCGAGTCTAAGAAGCAACGCCCATATATTTAGTAAATCTGTCCAATCAGAGGCCCGCCTCCAGCCATTTTGTCGGTCGATACTAGTTTGTGGATGGGGGAATCCTGCTGGCCGCTGGCTGGAACCTGTTGCTTCGTAGTTCCGTGTTGTGCAATGGACGGGTGAGTTATCCCATCGACTTCACTGCTCTTCTTACATGTAGTTTCTGACTGTTTACTTCCATATGAGATCAGACACACAAACGTGTTGAAAGGTGCTGTAGTTTTCCGCAGAGTATCGGGTTCTGTTGTTGTGAAAAGAAGCTGTCGGAGAAGTTTGCGTTTGTCAAATAAACAGGAAACGAAGCTACGTTAGCAGGTTAGCCGCAGTGCTAGCCTCTCAACGGGCCATTATCTGCGGGAACAAGTCCCCTAACACTGCCCAGCAGTACGCGGTCACATATTTACCCGGAGAAACAAGCTTCATAGCTTCTTTTGTCTCGTTTATGTCTGGTTTATAAATAATTTGCTGGAGGCGTCTCAAACTTCCAGCTCTCATCTCTACGGTAACGGTGTGTCTCACGCCCACTGCTACTGTTTTATCACTTTGAGGAAGTGAAAAAACAAATAAAAAGTAACTTACAGGACATAATTCTGAGCCGAATTAGCGAATTATTGCTAAAATGCATGTTGAGCTGCTAAACAGTTGTTTATGTGTCTTTTTTGCTTTTAAAAATTGAGAAGAAATTTAAATGGTTGGAATTTTAAATGGAGTTCTGTTTAGGAGCCGAAGTTGTAAACGGAAGTAGCTTCTATTACTGAAACTACGTTGATTGGTGGGTTTTATTGATTGTTTCTTTACTTTTTTGTAGTTTTTTTCTTTTTGTTAACGTGTTTAACTTGTTAAATGTTTTGTTTTAAGGGACAGAAAAATGCGTAAAATAACTCAAAGAATGCCTTGATCCAAAATCAGAGCTATCTTATTAACCCAAAGGAAAATTTGCTTTACATTTTTTCCTATTTTCTTTTGTATTAAAAACAAATTTTTGAGGAAACGTTTAACACATTCTGAGTTGAGATTTGAAGGAGTTTAATTTTAGTTCTAAAAACTTTTTAAAGTAGTTTGAGAAATATAATCAGATTTTAAATGAAATTATTACTGGAACAGAGCTGAACTTCCCCAAGGTGTTTTTGCACACCTTCATATTCGATCAACATTGCATACTTCCAGGTCAAATTACAGGAGTTTTAAGGCATTAATGCCATTTCTGCATTCATTTTCCTTAGTTTAAACCCTCTGAGCATTTAGTTTGAACTCCTCTTGATGTTTTGCTGCATCACCAGTCCAGCCTGTTAGCAAACCCATAAACCCCTGAAGGTCTCACCAGGCGACTCTTCTGGTGCTGGAGAATATTCTTCGTCAGGAGTCATCATCATGCCCTGCGGGGTCTGCAGGCCGACCAGCCGGTTTCTCACTCATCCTATGTAGCTCTGAAAAGATCACACACCTCTGGTAAAGCGCCATGCGTTTGTGACGTTGAAAATCGTTTTCCAAATTCTCCACGTTATCTGCTTAAAAGTTAAAAAAAAAAAAAGTTATTGTAGCAACCTGGGTGTGTTTACATCCTATTATTATCACCATATAAAAGCAGCTGAGGTTATGTTCAAGATGGATGATGTTAGGATCTAAACGTCAGTGACCTTTGAAACCCAAAACTGTAATGCGTGGGAAATTTATCAGTCAGTCAAGTTTATTTGTGCAGCACATTTCAGCAGCAAGGCAGTTCAAAGTGCTTTACATAATAAAAACTCAAAAATAAAGTCATAAAAGTAAATGCAGTCGCTAATTGAGAACAAACTTTATATTTTGTCAAAAATTAGCAATAATCATCAAATATTTTGGTCAGGGTTTCATTTATTATGGTACAAAAGCAGCAAACAGGCAGGTTTTAGCGTTGATTTAAAACCACTGGTGGTCCGCCAGCGCCCCCTGGTGGAAAGCAGGATACTGCATGTAGCCTTTTGTTTATTTCCGTGACGTCATCTCAAAGTGCGACGCTACAACTGGCTGACCATGCAACTCAAGTCTACTTTTCTGTTATTGTACTTCCAAGCCCTAAAATATTATTCATGCGCACACCAGGTAGTTTAGAACAACTTCTTTTTTTGTTTTCATATGTTTGACATTATTCAACCCAAATTAGACTTTTTCACTCCAGTCTGAACTTTTACTGCACTGATTGCAGTTTCCGGGCGATTACCAAATCTGACCTGCCAGTTTTTATCTAATACCAATTTTTTTTTTACATAAAACACAAATCTCAACAAGGTGGAAATAAACACTGGTTGCTAATATCGGCCCAGTTTCACAGACTGGTTCACTTTTGTCAAGAAATGACTAAAATCAGTTGATGCAATACTAATTTTGGTGCATCTTGTGTTTTGTTTTATTGTATATAACTTCAGTTGAACCCAGTGGGTTTATTCCAGTCTAATTCTTTAGCATCTCAGAATTGTGTAGATTTTCAGACTTCTCAGAGCCACTGTGTCTTTTCTGTGTGAATCATCGTCTTTCATTTCTTTTGCAAGGATTTATTTTATGAGAATTGCTGAAGCTTTTTCACACATCCAGAGACTCAAATATTATATAAATTTTTTTTTCTCTATGTCCACAGAAAGCTTGTTTTGTATTTATTGTAGCATAGCGAGACCTCTCTGTCTGCTGCAGGTTTACTTCAGGATTTTGTCGATCATTTTGTTCATTCTTTTCCGTAAAAAGTTTTGACACATTTTCCTGAACCAGTAGGAGTAAAACAACCAGAACCAGGCTCCTAAAAGCTGTTGGACTTGTTGCTTCAGAGTTCGTTCAAAGCATTTTGGCCGACATCAGGCTGTTTTTGGTTGACTTTTAAAGAAAACAGTTTGTTAACCAAAGCAGATTTAACAGGAACAAAACTTCTGCTGTGACCAAACACATGTTCATTATTTGCATTTTATCATTTCCTGCTGCAGATGTGGCCTGACACACGCAGGAGTTTGTTTTTACGTTTCTGTAAGAATGAGGATCAACAAACTGTCCAGACTCCAGCATTCAAACTCGGTGCTTTTATTTCCAGACTTTTAAAATGCCTCATTTGGTCAGCTTTGTGTTTTTTATATAAAATTATGCATATTTTTCACAAATGTGGTGTTTTATCAAAGTTTTAGAAATCCTTCATCTCCATGGCAACCATTCAGTTTCTAAAACGCGTTGGTGGATGTAGCCCCGCCTTCCAGACGGAGTTCCTCCCACACTCAGCTCCTTCAGACTAGCCAGCAGCTATTAGCAAACAGCTGGTGGAACTGCTGGTCTCATTGTAGGAGCTACTTCCCAGAGCAAGGCTGGTAAAAACATTTAAGGTTTAATAGAGAAGCCATGTTGAGATCACTTCCTGGAGGCGGAGCTTAAAAAGAGCAGGAAGTTTTAAAGAGACAGAAGCCCAATTTAAATCAGGAAGTCAAATTTCTAAAGTAAGAAAGCATTTTTAATACCATTTCACCCACATCATCATATTGTTGTTTCTGAGTTTTAAAAAGAAAGCATTTTGGCGTTTTTAGCACAGTTATAACAAATGATGTTAACATAATTCCTTGATTGTGCTGTAAAGTGGAACAATGTGCCTGGAAAACACATAAAACTGGCCCTTTAAATATGATTGATGTTTTAATTGCACTAGCTCCAGTGCTGACCCACAGTGTTGCACTTTGGCTGTTTAATTTCAGTCTGAAACATGATTATTTTAAAATGAAATGACAGTTTTGGGTTTGGTTCCGACTGTAGAAACGGTTCTGATTTAGTATTTAGTGTGAGTCATGATTTTAGAGCAGAGCGACCCAGAAGCAGTTAATAATAATAATAATAATAATAATAATAATTGTTGGTGGTGGTGGTGCAGCGGCTCTGCTTGGTCTCACTGCCGTCTCTGCTGGGCTCCTCTCCGTCTCCTCCTGCCTCTCCGCTCGCGCCGTCTCTTAACCTCCACCATTTTCTGCCCTTTTATTTGTTTATTATTTTCTTTTTGCTGTTTTTGAGTTTTTCTCCCTGCTGCTTCTAACATGCTTTCTTTTCTTCACAGCAGTGTCCACCACGATATAACAGTTGGTACTAAGGTAGGCACCTCTGCTTGTTCTTCCTCCTGCTTTCCATCCTTGCTGCTGGTTTGTTGCTCTGTTTGCTCTCAGTCCAGTTTGAGGATTCGTCTTTAAGCTTTCTGTGGTTCTAATTGATTATTAACTGCAAACTAAATCTGGTAAATAACGGTTCTCGATGATGAAGGATTAGAAATCACAGTTCAACACGTTTGAGTTCCTAAAATTTTCCTGATTTTTCTGATTTGTGAAAATCTGATTCTCATGATCTCTATAAATGATTACACTGCAAAAAATCTAAATCTTTCCAAGTATTTTGGTCAAGTTTCTAGTGCAAATGCCTTAGTAGACTTTTAAAAAAAATTAAGATATAGTCCAAACTTTTGTCCTCTGAGGCCAAAACCAGCAAATTTAAGATACTCATTGGCCCAAAAAATAATTTAAGCTCATTTTTGCATTTCAAATTTTTGTGATTTTGTTTTACTTGTAAAATCCATAAATCCTCACAAATCCAAAACAAAAGTAAAAGAAGAAAAACTGATCATTTAAAAAAAAAAGTTCAGGGTTGTTGGTTATTTTCTGTTTTGTTGGCCAAATTTTGACCTTGCTTGAAATAATCAAAGTTATTTCAGAGGCCACAAATGGCCCCCAGACCACAGTTTTAACACCCCTGACAGACATGCTTGATTTAAGTCAGTAGTTCCTTTAATATTGATCATTAATCACGATTAGTTGTTCAAGCCCTAAGTTAAAATATTTGGTTTCTATTAATTTTCCAGCTTAGCTCTTCACATAAATTCCTGCAGAACTGATTTTTGCCAAACAAAAATATCACTTAAAATTTTACTGTGATATTTTGTTGTACTATTGCAGTTAAAATAAAAATTATGATAAAAAAAAACATTATTTTTGACATAACTGAATAAAAGTGATTGCATGACACAAATACTGCTATTGGAAAACAAACATTTAGTCATATTTCCAAATGTACTGATATTTATTGATGCTCTTGTGTAACAAATAGGTGAAGAAAATATTAAAATCTTCAGATATTTAACATCTTATCTGTTGCCATGATGAGAAATGTTCAACAGAACAGTTATTGATTCCACAGATCTGTTGAGATAATTATCGTTTAACTTGCTGTTTTTTGTCAGCCATACAGAGTTTGTTTCTCTTCGTGTGAACAGCGTTTGGCCGATTTATCACATCTCTAAGGAATGCAGTAATTGGACAGTAAAACTGGAAGATACTAGAGCGTGTTGGAGCATTTACAGCCCACGATCCGCTGAGGACAGACGAGTTTATGTGTGTGATCGATCCAGCGATATGTTTCGGCCGTATTTGGTGTGACTGTGTGAATGGATTGCTCTGCAGCCTGCTGTCAGAAAGTGTTTCTGTTCAAGGTGAGAGCAGGAAGTTGTGGATTTACTGTCAGGTCACTTCATACCTTCACACTGCTTAGTATGAAGCGTAAAAACACCACAAATCCAGCGCCGCAGTGGTTAAATGCAGCAAGGCGTTCTTACTTGGATTGAATTATATGTTTTATGGCATCACATTCCTGCCAAAAACCACGAGGAATTGCAACAACACATTTATTAAAGGGGCGGTATCATGTGAAATTTCCATCCTGTTATGTTATTTCCTTTGATCCTTTCATGTTTGAGAAATCCTTTAGTTTCCATAGCAACCATCCAGCTGTGCAAAACACCTGAGTGAACCTAGCCCCGCCTTCAGGACACAGCTCCTCCCCACTCAGCTCCTTCAGACTAGTCAACAGCAATTAGCAAACATCTGCTGAGCTCATTATAGGAGCTGCTGCTCCGAGCAATGCTAGTAAAATATCGTTAAAGGGTTAATAGAGGAGCCATGTTGGAATGACTTCCTGGAGGCGGAGCTTCAAAAGAGCAGGAGCTTCTTAAAGAGACAGAGGCCTGATTTCAAGGCATTATATTAAAAAGTCAAGTTTCTTATAAGTTACATCTAATGTGTTTATAGGCTGAAAATTGTGGAAATTTGTAATTTTTATGCTTAAATGGAGAGAATTAATAAAAGTTAATACATCTTAGGGCTGAGCAATAAGGCTGAAATATTCATATCAGTCGATATTGATAATTATAGATAATTAGTTTTTTGCTTTAAATATCTGAAATGCTGCCATTTGTATTATTTTTAAACAGTTATGAGGGACAGCAGAAAAACAAACCGCATATTGTTGCTAGGCAACCAAGGAATGAGTGGGTGAGTTGAAGCCACCAACTTAGCTGAGTTAGCTTCAGCTGGGCTAAGGCCTTTCCTCTGTGTACGTTCCCCAGAATGCAGTGCGGAAAATGGAAGCATACTTTCTTTTACTTTTAATGAGATGTTTAGTTTTGAGCCGGTTTCCTGTTTAGTGCGGATTGGTTATTGTTTAGCAGTAAAGCTTTTTGATATTTGAAAAACGTTGTTAGCATGTGTTCAGTCCTGCCTTGGTTTCTTCCGGAACGCGGCGTCGTTCGGAGAATCGGTAACATCTGAGGGGATCAGAGAGCAGGAAGTGATGCAATGAGCGGGGGCGGCGTCCTCTCCGGTTTCCTCCTGTCACCTCGGGCGAGTAACTTGAAGCCAGTTCAGTGCTAATCCCCGGTTCTGTTAGCGAGACCAGAACCGCCCCAGATAATCCACAGAAAGGAAAGCTGCAGGTTTCAGGAATTCCCAGCAGGTCTGTGACTGTTGGGAATAATCCCAGATTAACTGATGTTCGGAAGAAAACTGGTAAAATGTTCCAATCAACATTTCTTCCCAGGTGATTAGTTTGATGAACGGTAAAGGGGCCAGCAGGTGAGCAGGGTGGCGTCGTGTTCAGACAGGCCTGATGGAAACATCTGAGAGTGTTTGGGAAAGCATGCAGTCATTCCTCATCCGTGTCAATGAGTTTCTGTTCAGATGATTTCTGTGACTCTGGTGATTAACCTGATTCAAAATGCATCACCTTTTCCATAGTTTATTAATAAGTTGGATGTCTCACTACATTGGCCTGTTTGGTATGACATTAAAGTGAAATAAGAACGTTTATTAAAATGCAGATACACTGTGTTGCACCTAATGTGGTCCCTTGAAAGAAGACTTTAATTGGTGGGTAATATTTGCCTGAATTAAAGATAAAGGAGTCGCCATCTGCATAAAGCACCTGGTGAGATAATTCATGAATTGGATTTGAGTCACAAAATAAATCAGTAACGGCTCCCGGGCTGCACTTTGGACTCTTATTACTGTGAAATGAGATTTAGGATTAATTCACGGCAGCCCAGTTCAGTCCGCTTTAATCCGACTCCAGTCCGCTTGTTTAGAAAGTCCAGTTCATTTGTGGAAGGTGAACTCGGCTCCGCCTCCAAGCCTCAGTCTGGTTCAGTTGAAGTGAACTCTGGTGCAGTCGGAAAACGTATGTGAACGCCAAGCGGACTGGAGACCACTACAAAATCAGGAAGTGGACTACAGCGCAGGGCATTCTGGGTAAATACAGACAAAACAAACACGCTAGGCTAGTGCTAGCAGGAGAAATGGCTCATTGTCTTTTATAAAAGACCAAAAGGAAATCCTTGATGCCACTCCACTTTTTTTTCCATTTGGTGAAGAAGGAAGTTGCGCTTAGTGTCTTCTTCTTCTGTGTCATTTTCTTCAGTGGTTCTTGGTGCAGCACCCCCACAGGCCAATAGGGGAACAGGTTGCTCAAAGGGTTTGGTTGGTTTGACTCAGAGCAGAGAAAGAACCACAGCAGCTGGAGATGGAGCAGATGTTTCATCTTTGGTCACCAGTCAAACCAAATCTATGGAAGTATTACGAGAAAAAAAGAGAGACGGATTCTTAAATTGTCATGAACCTGCAGAGGAACCAGTTTAATTCAGAAACATGCAGCTTTATCTGGAGGCAGAGTGGCCAAAAGTTTCACTCAAGTAAGAATAGCGATACGTCAAATAAAATAACTCAAGGTAAAAGAAACAGTACAGCATAGTAAAAGTGTTTATTTCAAAAACGTTACTCAGGTGAATCTGAGTAAATGTAACTAGTTACTTCACAACTCTGGGAAATCTTTATTATTATCTTTATTAAGGACAGTGCACATTAATGGACAGTCAACACCTGAAGTAATCTTCAGGTGAACCCTGGTAGCTTTTCAGTTTCTCGCTATATTTCATTTAAACCGTGGAAACAGTTCCTGAGCTTCAGTTTTCTATCATTTCCATCAACAATGAGATATTTTCAGTTCCTCAGTGATGCGGCGCGACGAGCCACATCATCAGTGATGTCATCAGAAGGAGCAGCGCGGCAGTTCGGTCATTTCATGGCGGTTCGCTGGCGGCCGCTGAGCGCGGCTCCTTTGTCCAGCAGCTGTCGGCCGGAGATGGAGACGGAGATAGAGGGCTCAGCGGAGAGAGGCGCTCGGGTTTCTGCTGCTTTTATTATTCATGGGAGGATCGGTAAGCAGATCCCAGCAGCTTCATGCAGGTAGAAAGAAAAAGCCAGAAACCTTTGGCTTCCTGGAGCGATGAAACGATGAGGCAGCAAAACTGGAAGCAGAGAAATGCAGCGTAGCAGTAAAAACCATCCTTCATTTTCCTTTATGGCCTTCCAAACAGCCAACAACCTGTAAAATTTAAAAAAGTCCAGATCAATAATAGCTCTTCAGACTTTTCGAGCGTTGATGTGCGTTCCGATCAATACGCTGGCTGTTTCCATTTCAAATATGAGCAAAAATTTGTCAGTTTTCTACCAATGTCAAAAAAACACAAGTCTGACCGTAAGTAATCCACACCATCTTGGTAGGCAATCCAAGAAATCAATCCAAGCAATCGATCCATGGCTTCCAGCTGAACAAACAACCTTGACCAATGTGAGAGAAAAGATGCATGAACAAAATGGCGGCTCTCAGGATGGACCCGTATGAAAATATGTCAAGCTGCCTCTAATCTCATACTGCGGTACAACTGCCTGGTGAACATGAAGCCCAACCTGGAGGAGCTTCACGGCCTGAAATCTATGAACGCGTAAAATCAGAGTTTAAGCGGCTTTTTAAAGGATGTACAAACTCTTTGGGTGAATAAAAAGGTTTGTGACAGGCAGAATAAGTACGTGTAATAACAAATACGCAGGCTACATGTTTGTCTTAGCTTGCAGCTAAAAGCTACATAAGCTAAGCTAATTTTGCTAGTAGTACAGTCAATAGCGATATTTATCTTAGTATTTCACAGTGGTGGTTAAAGTGCCCCGGCCTACCAAGATGGCGCGGATCACGCCCAGTTCAGACCTGTTGGGAGTTATTTATTAAAGTGCAAAAAATCAATATTTATTTAAAAACTTTTGTTATGGTTGCCTTTTTTATGTGTTATAGTAGTTGGTGTTTAGGTATAGTTTAATGTCTTCCAATAACATAATTACCTTATCAGATTTTCAATTTTCTTGTCAACTTTAAACACTTTTTATCTGAGTTTTTTGCATTTTTATTGGTGAATCTTAACTGAAACCTTCACTCTTGGTTTCCTGTGAAGCATTCTGGTTGAACTCTGTAGTTTGAGTCCTTCAGCCAGAGATGAAGGCCCTTCAGTTTGCTGAATGAGACTCTGCCTGTTTGTCAGCATCTGTTTTTTATTGAACTGGTTCAGGAATTTACCCCCCGGCTCCCTCTGCTGGTGGGGCGGTAATCAGAGGCTGCAGGTGATGTTCATGTGACAGGATGTGTTTCCAGTGTTCCTGCCGGTTTGATTCAAATTCACCACAGTTGCATCTGTGAGGCGCCATCTGCTGTAGAAGTGTGTCACTGCATCACTTTCTCTGAAGGAGAAACTATCTGACTGATAAAGGGTTTTTGCCCAACAGTCTTGTGTACAGGAGGAAAACTCGTTAGCACACCTGTGATTTTCCACTTCTTTAATTCACAAAGTTTTTTTGTTTTTTTTTTACTGTTTGCAAAATTAAAACTTAAAAGTTTTATGGCCGATTAAATGATCGCCAGTGTCCTCTTCTACACCGTGGTGTGCTGGGGAGGCAGCACATCCAAGAAGGACACGTCCAGACTGGACAAACTGATCAGGCGTGCCGGCTCTGTGGTCGGCATGAAGTTGGACTCTCTGGTGACGGTGGCAGAGGCGAGGACACTGAACAAACTGCTGGACATCATGGACGATAGCAGCCACCCTCTACATGCCGTCATCAGCAGCCAGAGGAGCCGGTTCAGTGACAGACTGCTGCTTCCCAAGTGCTGGACCAATAGATTCAAGAACTCCTTTGTCCCCCACGCCTTCAGACTGTACAACTCCTCACTGGGGGGTCGGAGGTAACACAGGACAGAGGGAAGAAGGAGTAGTTTTTCTACAAATGTGAACTCCATATTTATCAGGCCAAACCATACAGTGCAATACCATATCACTGGTCAATCTATCCACCAAATTGCTATAATTTCCTTTTGTGTTGTATTTATATTCTTTGTTTTGTATTTAATTTGTATTTTTTTGTATTCTTTTGTGTATGCTTACTGTGTGCCACATTTTTGCCTGTGAGCTGCTGGTAACTATAATTTCCTGAGGGAGTCTTCCCAAGGGATCAATAAAGTCAAGTCTAAGTCTAAGTCTAAGTCTATGAATTTTATTTTTATTTTCAGAGAGGATCCGACGAGCTTTTCTCCAGCGTCTCCAGCGACCCATATATCATGAGCACCACAGGTCAGAAATTCACCTAAAGTTTCATTGTTTTTCTATCAATTTTTAAATTTTGGATAAAAATGATCAGCTGTGGTACTTTGCTTCATGATTTCTTCCACACAAGAATGATTTCAAGTTTAAAATGTTTTAACATTTTGGAACATTGAAACATCTTTAAAATTGGAAAAATTTGCAACAGCAATAAAACACGAAGATCCATTTTGTATTGTATAAAAGTTTATCGTAGAATATCAAAGTTCTTTGAGGAACAGCTGGAGTATGAATTAACTGTATGTCAAAAAGATTTAGAGCTGTTGCAGGACCCCATCTCCCTGATGGAGGCCAAAAAACTGATGGCTAACAATGACTATTATTGGTTTTAGTCGTCAAGTCTCTGACAGACTGTCAGTAGAACAGGTGATTCAAATAGCTAATGTACCACTGGGGTGTTAGCTTAGCTAGTAGCAGTAGTAACTAATGTACCACTGAGCTGTTAGCTTAGCTAATAGCAGTAGTAACTAATGTACCACTGAGGTGTTAGCTTAGCAAGTAGCAGTAGTAACTAATGTACCACTGAGCTGTTAGCTTAGCTAATAGCTGTAGTAACTAATGTACTACTGAGGTGTTAGCTTAGCTAGTAGCAGTAGTAACTAATGTACCACTGAGCTGTTAGCTTAGCTAATAGCTGTAGTAACTAATGTACTACTGAGGTGTTAGCTTAGCTAGTAGCAGTAGTAACTAATGTACCACTGAGCTGTTAGCTTAGCTAATAGCTGTAGTAACTGATGTACCACTGAGCTGTTAGCTTAGCAAGTAGCAGTAGTAACTAATGTACCACAGAGCTGTTAGCTTAGCTAATAGCAGTAGTAACTAATGTACCACTGAGCTGTTAGCTTAGCAAGTAGCAGTAGTAACTAATGTACCACTGAGCTGTTAGCTTAGCAAGTAGCAGTAGTAACTAATGTACCACAGAGCTGTTAGCTTAGCTAATAGCAGTAGTAACTAATGTACCACCGAGGTGTTAGCGTAGCTAATCTACTACAGCGATCACTTACTAAGCATAAAACAAACATGAAACTAATGAATCTTTTGATCTTTGTGTGGAAAATATTTCAGTGTTGAAACTTGAAACATAAAGTGGCGTTGTTGTCCGTTGCTACGGCAACAAGTCTGTGTGTTGCGTAGCTGACACAGACAGCGAGAAAAAAGAATGCGAGTGGTTTTGAGTTCTTCTTCGGTGGTTTTTCTGAATGGACTCTGTCTTATTGCCCTGCGCCGTTGTGCACAATAACATGCAGGGGTCGAGAAAACGACCTCACCACTTAGTGGTTGAACGCTCTGACATGTTGCTCCTGCAGCCAATGGCAACGACAGCAAGAAGTTCAAAGGTGACATAAGAGGCCCCAGCCTACCTTCGAGGGTCATCCACATCCGCAAGCTTCCCAGTGACATCACAGAGGCCGAGGTCATCAGCCTGGGCCTGCCGTTCGGCGACGTCACTAACCTGCTGATGCTGAAAGCCAAGAACCAGGTACAGGTCGTCGCCATGAGCTTTAAGGTCCTGAATTTGAGTTGTTGAAATCTGTCCTGTCGCCTGTCAGGCCTTCTTGGAGATGAACTCGGAGGAAGCAGCTCAGAACATGGTGGGTTATTACTCCACTATGATGCCCGTCATCCGACACCAACCCGTCTACCTGCAGTTCTCCAACCACAAGGAGTTAAAAACGGACAACTCCCCCAATCAGGAGGTAACTCCCACTCCCTCCAGACTGGTGGCCCCTGGTTGCCCCCTGGTGGCCCCTGGTGGCCCCTGTTAACTGCTCTCTCTCTGCCAGAGGGCCCAAGCGGCTCTGAGGGCCCTCAGCTCCTCCCATGTGGACCCGCAGATGGCCGCTCCCAGCACGGTGCTGAGGGTGGTGGTGGAGAACCTGCTGTACCCGGTCACCCTGGACGCTCTCTGCCAGGTGAGAACATTGCTTTTACCAAACGTTGCACCTTTAGAGGAACGATTAGCTTCAGGTTTTGCAGGTTGAAACTAAAGATCAGGCTGAAATCTGGGTTTGAACCTTCAGAGTTACAAAGTCGCCCTTCTGGAATGTGTCAGTTTTGATGAATCACATATATTCATAACCGAGGCTGAATATATGTGACTGTTTTGATCAAGATGAATTCCAGGCATGTATAATTATATTGTGTTCAGCTCATGCTAATGTCGGCGACCACGGTCCACTTTTCTAAAGAAGCTCCATGAATGACCAGCACTTCCTTAAACACTTTGATCCAGTCTGAAATCGATTTGATGGAAAATGTTGGTAGTTTTTGATGGTTTATCAATTGAAAAGATTCAAAGCATTAAACCTGTCTTTAAACTTTCATCGTGTCTCTGCTCCTGTTTGGTCCTCAGATCTTCTCAAAGTTCGGCACTGTGCTGCGGATCATCATCTTCACCAAGAACAACCAGTTCCAGGCGCTGCTGCAGTTTTCAGACGGCTCATCTGCCCAGGCAGCCAAACTGGTAACCAGTGCTGCTCCCAGCTCCCGGCGCTGCGCCCAGCAGCTCCCGGCGCTGCGCCCAGCTGCTCCCGGCGCTGCGCCCAGCTCCCCCCGGCGCTGCGCCCAGCTCCCGGCGCTGCGCCCAGATCCCGGCGCTGCGCCCAGCTGCGCCCAGCTGATCCCGGCGCTGCGCCCAGATCCCGGCGCTGCGCCCAGATCCCGGTGCTGCGGCGGGCGGCTCCCTGACGGTTCTGTTGTGTTCCAGACTCTGGATGGACAGAACATCTACAACGGCTGCTGCACCCTGAGGATCAGCTTCTCCAAACTCACCAGCCTCAACGTCAAATACAACAACGAGAAGAGCCGGGACTTCACCCGGCCGGACCTGCCGTCCGGAGACAGCCAGCCCGGCCTGGAGCACCCGGCCATGGCCGCCGCCTTCGGTAAGGACGGCCCAACACGCCGCCGCGGGGCGTCTGCTGACGTCTGCTGCAGCAGGGCTTTGCAAAGGGTGGCAAGTTTAACCAGTGAAATAAATGCCTGTTATGCCTGGGCTTATTATTGAATGTATTTGATTAATTATACGATTAATGAATTATTGAACAAGCCAGTTCGTAATTAATGCAAAACTTAATTATAAATTCAATCCTGTGCTTTTCTACTAACTATATATTTGATGTAACTGTTGATTGTAAGGCGGTTGCTGATTTGCTCTCTGAAAGTCTCTGATCTACAGAAACAGATTTTAAAAAGTTGCTCAGAAACCAGACAGGAAGTAGAATCAGCCTCAGATCCTCCTTTCCGATAACGCAGAGCGTTTCTGTGTTGCAGCTCCAGGAATCATTTCTGCGGCGCCGTACGCCGGAGCGACGCACGGCTTTCCACCGGCGTTCGCGATTCAGCCAGCAGGTGAGTCTCACCTGAGGAGCTGCGGCCAATCAGAGGACAGCGTCACAGACTCTGTAACGGGAACGATTCATCACATATTCAACCCAAAAAATGTTTGATGCTAAACTTCTGCTGATTGTGTTTGTTTGATGAAGAAGGAAAAGTATTGATCTGGAGGTTTTTGAAGCGGCTCGTTTTCCTCTTCTAAACCGATTTCGCCAGCAATGATGTCGATTTGTCCCAAGATGAAAATGATTTTTCCTCCCCTGCTGTGAACCAACACCTGGTGAGATGATGGTGGTTTCATCCAGGTTTGTGCGTTTTCCTCTGCAGTGTCCTCCGCCTACCCGGGCCTGACGATGTCGGCTCTCCCCGGAGCGCTGGCCTCCCTGGGCCTGCCCGCCACCGCCAGGCTGGGCTTCCACTCCATCCCCGCCGGACACTCGGTCCTGCTGGTCAGCAACCTGAACCCTGAGGTGAGCGGCGCCGACGGCCAACGCTCGCCCGCCTTAACCGCAAACTGCTGAAAGTATCTGATCAAAATGTCTAAAATCACAGAGCTGAGTGGAATCCTCTGAAACACAAACACTTCCTGTGAGGATTTTAGCTCCGACTTCCTGTTATGACATCATCACCCCCTCCCCGCTTCCACACCTGCATCCTCACACAGAACACACACCTGTTGAGTCATGTTTGAAATGATCTAATTTTACCTGAGTGAAGTCGGCCCACCTTCTTCAAATCTAACAAAAAGGTCTCAAACGTTTTTTGTGCCGTTTAAAGATGTCGAGATATTAATGAGCCTCCAGAGGTCATCAGAGGTCAACCACAGAGCTCATTTACAAAGTCAAACAAGTTTAATTCAACTTTAATTTGTGCAGCAATAATTTTTTTGTGCTGCTTTTGCTTTGAAGATGACCTCTGGTGACCTCTGATGACCTCTGGAAACGTTTTGGTATCTTTGTGACGTCGGAGGCACAAACTCAAACTTGACTCCATTTTGTTAGATTTGAAGGTCGGGCGTTGAGCTTCACTCAGGCTTTTATTTTGACATTATCTAACCCCATCCTCTCCAAAGGTAATTTATCCTTCTGATTGACCCCTCACCTGTCTTTTTGTTTGTTTTTTTTCTCTTCCCCTTTTAATTTGTTGCCATGGAAACGCCTCGGACCCTCCACCTGTCCTGCCCTCCCACCTTTACCTGTCCTGTCCCTCCGCTGCCTTCTCTGCTGTCTTTAAAGAGAGTTACGCCCCACTGCCTCTTTATTCTCTTCGGTATGTTGTCACTAGCTTCTTATTTTTGAATTATCAGTACCACCTGGATGTTCTGGTTTTTGATTTGAATTTCTTTTTATTTTGATTCATGAGAAATGAGTGTCTGCTTGTTTTGTTCGACCTTTTGAGTTGATTTGAGTTTATCTGCAATACGTGGAGCTTTTCCTCCGATGTTTGACGCTCCTGTCAGGTTTCAATATTTGGCCTCAGTAATTCAGTTGAAAGTTAAAAGTGCCCCAATCAGCTCCTGTTAGCAGTGCTTTAATATTTGTGTGATGTGAATAGGTTCAACTTAGTTGGATTAGTTTTAATTAAGTGGTTGAAAAGAGGCAAAAATAGTTTAATATGTTTTGAGTATTTTGGTCTTTTAATGTATACAATTAACAGATGAACACATTTTATTAATAAACCAGAAGACTACTTGAGGAAATGTCCGTAATGTGCTGCTATATTGAAAATGTATACAATAGTAAGACTGAGCTTTATTTTGAAAAAAACAGTGGAATCCATGTTTATGGACAATTATAACTTTTAAGTAAATCCACTCAAGAATTTGGGCTTTTATACTGAAGACCAACTGTAAACTTTATTTTGAAAGTCTGTCTTGTCCCTTATTCCTGTTTCACACATTAGTTATTCAAAACCCAAACAGACAAAGATTGAGGCTCTTATTCTGAAGAAAAACGTTTTCTCCCTGGACATTGTGTCTCCTCTCAATAATAGTAACAATAATAATAGTGAAAATAGTAAAAAAATAAAATAAAAGTCTAAACTTAAAAATAATGTACTAAAAGTAAAAACATTAATAATCATAAATAGTATTAATAATGGCCAACATAATAAAATAGTAAAGAAAATGGTAAAAGAAAATACTGAATAGTAGAAAACAATGGCTATAATAACAGCAATAGTAAAAACCAAAAAAATGATGATATTAATAAAAGTGAGGACGTCCTTCCAGTTGGTTGCTGATGGAAATCAAGTCCAAACAACCCGGAGCTTTTCAGTCTGGAGCTTCTGAAACTCTGAGGAGCTGCATGTATTGTTGCTTCACTTCAGTTCACTGAGCCTCAGTTTAAGTTTGCATGCTGGGTTTCTTTCAGTTTGCATGTCCTCAATGCTGAACCAGCTGCGCTTGGTTTTGTTTCATCAAACCCTGTAATTCAGTGTCTACATGGTGTAATCTGCCATCGTTTTATTTAATTTCCTCCGACCCTTGTCCTTAATTTCTTCACTTGCATTTCCTGTGAATAATCAATCATTCAGGAATCCTTGCCTTCAAAGTTATATTTACCAATTTGTTTTTTATTTTTACTGTTAACCTCCTTCATATTAGCTTGATATTCCCATCAAAGTCCAATATTTCCATAAATAGTGTTTACCGTAAGACGAAGGGTCAGGTCTCTGCTTCATACACGACGTCATGTAGGAATGATGACTGCAGGTTATGACACAGTGTGACTGCAACTAAGATGAATATTGAAATGTTTTGATCTAATTTCTGACTGTGTGTCAAGGTGTTTATGGAGACGTGATGAGAGTGAAGATCCTGTTCAACAAGAAGGAAAACGCTCTGGTACAGATGTGTGACAGTACCCAGGCTCAGCTAGGTAACCAACCGTCTGCACACGCTCAGTGTGACCCATTTTTATTCTTCTATTCGGGTTTCGACTTCTTCAAAAAAAACTATCAGTGCAGCCCGTTACCTGGCAACCCCAGCAGAGTTCCGCCCGTTACCTGGCAACCCCAGCAGAGTTCCGCCCGTTACCTGGCAACCCCAGCAGAGTTCCGCCCGTTACCTGGCAACCCCAGCAGAGTTCCGCCCGTTACCTGGCAACCAGACGTAAACGTGGTTATCTCAGAATGATTTTGGGGGATAAATGTAATGATTTTATGGAGCAGAGTGCAGTGGCTAATTTAAACTACTGATGGGCCACAAAATTCATTACATTGAACATTTTTTATGAACTCTGCGTATCATTAAAGGTCCAAAACATTAAAAGGTTTCAGAGTTACTTAGAAAAAAAACAAAACAATCAATTTATAATATTTTTTTTGTTTGTGATCAGTTTTGTGTCTGATGGTGAAAACTGACCTATTAGCTTCTATCACAAAATCCTATCATGGACCAGAAATGGTCCCCGGGCCACATGTTGGACACCCCTGCCACAGACCTGTCCCGTCCTGCTCCACAAAGTATAATGGGTCACTTGTCAAACAAGATGGCTGCCATGTGCACACATTCAAGGAGTGCATGGATGAAAATAAAAATCCAGATTTTCCAAAATGATTTCTGCAAAACCAAAAATTTTATGAATCATTGTTGCCCTCATAGACTTATTGAAACTTATCGTTTTGTATGAATTTTCTGCATCTGAGGGTCTTTAGCATCTAAATGTTGGCATCACTAATAAGTAGGAGCAGAACGTGAAGGTAGAGGTGTTGACCTTTGACCTGCTTTGCCTGGCAGCCATGAGCCACCTGAATGGCCAGCGGCTGCATGGGAAACCTCTCCGGATCACGCTGTCCAAACACACCAGCGTCCAGCTTCCCCGCGAAGGCCACGAGGACCAGGGCCTGACCAAAGACTACAGCAACTCCCCGCTGCACCGCTTTAAGAAGCCCGGCTCCAAAAACTACTCCAACATCTTTCCTCCCTCCGCCACCTTGCACCTCTCCAACATCCCGTAAGTCTCCAGAACCCAGCCAGACTCGGCAAACCGCAGGAGGAAGGTAAGAAAACGATGCCGGCGCTCTTATAAAACTGGTCTGCTTGCGTTTTTTAGCCCTTCTGTGGTTGAAGACGACCTGAAGATGCTGTTTTCCAGCTCTGGAGCCATCGTCAAGGCCTTCAAGTTCTTCCAGTAGGTCACAGATTTACTCTTTCTAACCTTGAAACCTATGAGATCAAAACTTCCTGGTACTAAAGCGTCAGCAGCTGTGAGTCTGTAGTTTAAATCATTGATTACCACAGACTTGGCTCTGAAGAACACGATCCCGTTGTTTTTCATTTGGTTGTCTTTTCTTTATGTTTTCAGGCTTGGTGTTTATTTTGTGGGTATTAATTAGTCATTTTATGAACATAACGGTGGTAGATTAGCTCATTTAAGCAATTCAAGCTAGCGTAGAAGCCTTTAACAGCCTTTTTCTCCTCCAGGAAGGACCACAAGATGGCTCTGATCCAGATGGGTTCGGTGGAGGAAGCCATCGACTGCCTCATCACGTTCCATAACCACGACCTGGGCGAGACGCACCACCTGCGCGTCTCCTTCTCCAAGTCGTCCATCTGAGCCGGAGGATGGTTTTTATTTTTACACGGCGTCCACTACACTCCAATCATTCCGATGCAGAAACCAACACAGAGTCTGCTGTGATGTTAAATTATTGTGTGTTTTTGTTTTTTTTAGATTCTTTACCTTCAGAGGAAGGTAGGATTATCCCACGAATACGACGCTTCAGAGGTGGGCCTCTGGAGTCCTGTAGTTATTCTCTAAAGTCAGAGAAAAGTCAGTATTCTGAGTTTTAACTGTTTGATAAAAGTTGTCAGAATTTACTGTCCTCCTTGTTGGGACGTTTTTAGCGTCTTCTGCCTTTTGACTTTTAATCACGGATTAAAGTCGGCCTTCGCAAATCCTTCAGACCTGACTTTAACTCAGAATGATCACTTTAATCTCTGATTCTCGCCTGATTTAATAAATTAAGATTGTTAAAAGATGAACCCAGTTTGGGAAGTCGTAGCTTCTGACCGTCTCGTTTCACTCGGGCGTTCTCTCGAAACGCCTCTTGACCTTAAAACGACCTCTGTGCCTTATTCTGACTCAAACACAAAACGAAGCCTCTGAATTGGCAAAAGCAGGTTTACAGATGATAAAGGTTTACTGTTGAGATGTTTTCCTATTTTTGTGTATGTTATTGGTGTTGTCTGTGCTTTTCTGTTAGTGTTTTGTAATGTTGGTTACTGTAGCATCAAACATGTGAACTGAGTGTTTTAGCGGCTTCGCTACGTCATTTAGATTGAACTTTTCTTTCTCGTCACTTTCTGGCTCTTTTCTTTCCCAAATATGCAATCATTATGTAATCCTATATTGTAGCAATATTTTAATCATTCCTGAGCTTTTGTCTTCTTGTCCTGGCTGTCGGTGAGCTCGGCCGTTTCCGCTGCCTTCTTCGACCCGAAGATGAATGTTTTGTTTTGTTTTGTTAGTTGCGTGTCTCTTGAAACGTTTTTAATTTATACGTTTGTGATCCACTACAGCTAAAACCAAAAACAGCCTTTTTAGATACAAACAATTCCACCTGCCTCAGGTTTCTGATTTTTAAGGACTAAAAAAACAAGATAATAGTGGTTCAGGCTTTTATTGGTGGTGTTTTTCTTTTTTTCCTGTGAAAATGTAAATGACTTCAACCAATTTGAAGTCATTTACCGCTGGTTTCGCGGTGTGCCTTCAACCCAGCACTGAAGTCGCAACATCACAAAGTGAAATCTTCTGACGGTCTAGTCAAAGTTTGCTGGTTTGGTTCATTTATCTCTTAATTCTTCAAACCGTCGACATTCCAGCCACTCGGAAGTCCACTCCATTTTCAGTGTAATGCGATATTTTGCTGTCTGAACGAAGTGTTTCGTAGAAATGAGCTGCTGAGGTTTGCGGTGGCGATGCGTTCGGGGCACCTGGGAAAAGTTAGAGGAACTTCGATTAGAAAAGGAAAAAACGTTCCAGTTCAGATTTTAACGTGAAAATTTCACAACGCAATGAGTTTCCCATCATGTTACAACGCGAAACGTTTTGACGAGTTTTATCACGTTAAAACGTAAAACTTTTTCATTTTAATGTTTTTCACATATTGTTACGACAGAAAACTTTATTAAACTTGTTTCATTTAAACAAACTTTCTCATTATAGCGAATTTTACGTCATATAACATGAAAGTTTATTTTTTATTATGATACTGTGAACGTTTGTCTTGATGAGTTTTATCATGTTGTAATGTGAAAACTTTTCCCTACAGTTTCACAGTTTTACATAATTTTAAAATTTTCACGTTTTATATTTTATGATAACAAAGTTTCTCGTTATTGTGCGAAAGTTTTACGTTTTGACAAGCGTTATATCTTATGTGAATTTCTCATTTAATTAGTTTCATATCTTGTCAAAGTGTGAAACTTTGGAGCTGAAAGAAAAAAGTTACATTATAATGAGATGAAATTCATCAACACATTAAACTTTCACATTGTAACAATATGAAATCAGAGTTTTTCACGCAACACAATATGAAACTCGTTAAAACAAAGAACTTGTGTTATACCAAGATGTAAAACTCGTTATAACAAGAACTTACTAAAACTTGAAACTCGCTTAACCATCAGAAGCGAAAGATTTTTTTAACAATAAAATGTCTAATTTTGACAAGTTTTAAATCTCTAACATTCAAGTTTCTTGTCTGGAAGCGTTTTATATCTCACTATGACAAAAATAATGCTCCTGAATTTATTTCCCACTTTTGGCAGTTGCATTCTTCCATAGATGAGATGAGTCATAGATGAGTCTCCTCTGATTGGTCAATTCCAGTGGTCTGATCTGACTCCGCCTATTAAATCTGAATTAATTTTATTGGCTGAAATGTTTTCTATAAAACTAAGAATATTACATTGTTTTTTTCAAAGATTTTTGTCTTTAAATGACATTTACTTTGCAATTATTTTGGTGTTTATACATGAGTTTTTTTCTGTTGGTGTGGAGAGTTGCCAGGATTTCCCCCCATGACGTAAAATGGACCAATGAAAACACTCCAAATGCTGGACATAAAGTCCTTTTATTTACTGTGAAAAAGCTTTTAACTGCGAACACAGCGATCCAGCTGCGTGTTCAGTTTCTCCCTGAGTGCACCCGAATGCATCGTGACCTTTCATTGTCCGGTAGAGCGGGAGCCCGAACCGGGTCAAAGGTCACCTGACTGTACATACATGTTTTATACACGGCTGTCTGAGAGGTGACTATTGGTTTTATATCCAATGAAACGTGTATATTTTGATTCAAGTGTGCAACAAGTTCTGAGCCTCACGTTGTGTCACAAAGAAAAAAATAAATCAGTCTTTTTTTTTTTAAACAAACATTTCAACGTTTGTTGTTTTTTTTTGTTGACAAAAGCATAAAAAAGAAGCATCTCCTCTTAATTTTCATCCAAAAGTGGATTTTAAAATCTGGCAAACTTCACAATTTAACTGAAAACTACAGTGGCCCAGAGGTGCAAATTCATAGTTAACACAGGAAGAACACAAAGCTGGAAATTTGCAAAAAATAAAAATAAATAAAACTATAATTTGAGATTAATGTAAAACGTTTTCTAGAAAAAACATAACTTTCTGAGTTTGAAAAGTTTTTTTCCTGCACATTTTCTGTGTTTTGGAGCTCAAAAAGTTTATTCCTAATGTCTGAGATTAATCTCTTAATTTGAGTTTTCTTGGTGGAAACTTCCAGCACTTTTTCTATTAATGCTGGACAGGATGGGCCTAATTCTCAATACTCTGAAGGATTAAACATAATCCATAATCTCTAAACATAATCCTTCAAGCCTTACATTTTCTGAGGACTTTGAGTCTGGATGAGTCTTTATCTGTCTGCAGACTAATTCATGTTGACAGAGAACAACTTAACACAAAGTGAAAACTAAATCTGAATAAAATCAAGGTCAATCACCAGCAGAGGGCGCCAAACTCCAGAAAAAAAGTTTATACAGAAACTGGGAGGCAAAACAAGATGAATGTAAAAGTTTTAAACTTTTAAAGCTGTAGTTATAATTAAGCTCATCCTTTCCTCAATTGTTTTAGAACATAAATTTGTTTTTGTGCCTGAAATGCTTTTGTTTTTCCATCAAACTGAAATATTTGAATAAAAATAAAAGTTGCTCATGTGATGCGTGGTTGAAATGAGAAAATAATTAGAAAAACGTGAAACTTTACAAATTAAAACTGACTGAAGTTTGGTTTTATTGTGTTTGTCATTGTTCTGGTTTCAGCTAAAAAAGAAAACAACTTGTAAAAAAGTTCAAACGGAGCCAGAAGTGACCAGATGATCTGCAGGAAACATAAAAAGTTTAAATGTTTACACAGACATAAAATTCTTCAAACTAACCACAGTCAATTTAAATCTGTTTATTTTCGTCACCAGTTAGTCTTTTTAAAAACAGATACATTTTACATACAGTTTGTTCTGTCCAATATAGACAAAGTGGTGTTAGTTTCAAGTATTTGCAGACCATTAAATAAATTAGAATATTATTTAAAACGTCCATCAGGATGCGCTACATAGATTAATTTACATATATTTGGAAGTTTGAAAGCATTTATTTATGATAATTTTCCTAATTACAGTTAAAAAGTTTTAAATGAGAATATAACAGACAGCAGAAAAGATTGTCCATTTTCAAAAGCTACTTTTATTCTGACAAATGATCTTTATTCCAATTGCAAACTAAACAATTTAATTCATTAATTAAATCAGTTAAACTTTCTAAAGATTGGATGGCGTTTCTGATTTAACATATTCACTCCTCCAACAATTTCCCGTCATTTTTGTCGTCGTTTCCGCCATGACACTTCCTGTGTGATGTGAAAAAAGTGTTTCTATTGCAGTTTTGTGAAATATGCTGATTTCAAAACAGCCAACAAAACTTGCCTCATTCTAGCACAAAACTGGATGTTTTTAATGAGTGTTTCCATTTATATTGTAGGACATAAGAAATGTAATTAAAACCAAACGTGATGAAGTTTGTTTGTGCAACAAGTCATCAAAAAACATCCTATTACTACTTCCCGTCTTCTTCTTTGTCGTTTCCTACAGTAGTAGCTTCCTGTTGTTTATCATGCAACTTGTGTGATGTAAAAAAAACCTTTTCCATTGCAGTTTTGCAAATTATGCAAATTTTGAGACATCTAAAAAACCATCAGTGTAAAAACATTAATGTTTCCATGAAGCAAATTTCTTTTCATAATTTCAATTTTGTGCCATTTTAAGGTAAATGGAAATGCAGTGACTGATTTTAACGTGTTCTATTTGTTAACGTGTTCAGATTTTCCATCTGTTTGGAAACTAAAACATTTTCTCCTTCAGCTTTTCTCCAACCGTTCTTCATGCTAAAATTAAAAACCGGACATTTGTCCGTTTGCAAGCAGCTCTGATGGCGTCAAAGCGGCGATCTGCAGACGCTTTGTGACCTGAAGATGAGATTTATCCAAGAGAACGATCAAAGCTTCTTTTCTTTTCTGTGAGCGGCGGAGATATTAAAACCAAAGAAGAAGAGAAGTGAAGCGTTCACTTTCACAGTCAGTGCTGTGGAAACAACCAGAGGAGATCTGAGGCTTTACAGACTGGAGAAAGTTCATATCCGTGTCTTCTGACTCGCAGCCGAACAAAGAGGAGGAGGGAAACCAAATGCCGGCACGCCAGCTTGCTCTCACACGGCTGTCAAGCAGGAATCCCTCCAGTCCGAGCCGAGTTAGCATAATCCCCCAAAACGCTGCCGACCCCAAGGAAGAGGAGGAGCCTGAGGAAGGCTCTGCTGAGGTCAAACCGGCCTACTGGTCTGACTGGGACCATCACAAACACAAACCCATCGCAGGGGACACAACTGAATTCACACATTTTCCATAAAGTACTGAAACAAAGTCATACATTTCAGATCAATTTGATGCTGACATGGAAAAAAATTCAATATTTGTAAAACGGTTATCAAAGTATAACTTCACAAAATACTCAACAGTCCTAATTCAATTTTTAATCTTTTCATGAAGGTCTTCTTTTGTAAAATTCATACTTTATTTTCCTAAATTTCCAACTTTATTCTCATAATAATGGCTTTTTCATAAAGCATTACGACAATTCTCAGAACAACTCTCTGCTGTAATGGTTAAAATATATATATATATATATATATACAGATTTTATTCTTGTATTATTACAATTTTATTGTGGTGCAACATTCTGGTATTAGTACAACTTTGTTTTTAATTACTTTTTCATTAGAAATATTTTACTCTGGTATTACTGCAGTTTTATTGTCATCTGAATTTATTCCCATGATATTACAGCTTGTTCCAGTAATATAACTATTATCGTTATATTACATTGTTTTTATATTATTAGGACTTTTTTCTACTTATATTACAACTTAATTCTAGAAATACTTTTGTTTTTATTCTTGTATTATTACAATTTATTGTCGTCCAACCTTATTCTCATGTTATTATGGTTTTATTCTCATGTTATTACAACTTTTTGTAGTAATTTATGATTTCATGTCATGCATATGAACAGCTGTGAACTGTTTGGAATTAAATGGCTGTTGGGAGTCATAGCTTCTGCTGCTGCTCATTTATGCCCTAAATGTGACAAACTTGTTTTTACAGGGTATCTCAAGTCAAAACAGACAGAAAATGGCCATAAAAATCAGTTTAAAATAGTTTTGGAGAAAGAAAACGGCCTAATGAGGGACTTTGACATCTCTGTTGTGATGCTGCTGCTCTTGTCTCTGTGAGCCATTTACATTCCTCTCCTCCTCTGAAGTGAAATGATTTTTAGATATTTCCCCTCCTTGTGGAGTTTTTCGGAGGCCAGCGGGGAACATATTGGCTGAGCCCACCAAGGTGTGCTAATGCCTGGTGGGCAAGTACTTTAAATGCTAATTCTCCCCGCCTATCCGTCCTGCACTCAGAAAAATAACAAATAAAAAACACCCTCTGTCCCGCTAACTACCTCCGAGGCAATTTCTTCCTCCACATAACGTTGGTCCGGCTGATGCCCACCGACTGACCGCAGCTAACCGGGGCTGTCAGGACGCTAATGCTAGCCTAGCCTCCCAGAAAGCACTGTTTGTCTCATGATGAGCAGTCACGCGTGTTTTGACATGTTTGGGGGACAGAAGGAGAGGAAAACAATATTTTGGCAAGAAAAAAAAAAGAGTTGAGGCTCAGCGTGCAGCTAATGGCGGCCGGCTGACAGGTCCATCACGGTTTTTGGCGGCTACTTTGCATCCGTCAAAAAAAAAGAGAAAAAATGGCCGATTATGCAAACGTCCGGTTCACTGGTCGCCATCACCAGCACCAGCGGCTCCATCAGGCGTCGCCATCCTGGTGTTTTGGTGATTGGAGCCGTCCAGCAGGGGGCCGGCAGGTAATTCTGTCCAGGTCTGATGAGACGTAAATAATCGTCCATTTTCAGTCCACATCGTCCTCTGGGTTATAATTAACCCCTTAATTCTGCGGGTTGCAGGAAACTCCTCCACCATGATGGCTGGAACACATTCTGTCTCTAAAACTTGATCAGAACCAGCAAAAACCTCTCATTGGTTCCTCCAGCCAAGTCCTCATAATTCACATTTATGTCCCTACAACACCACAAGAAAAGCTTCTTCTCACACACACACACACACACACACACACACACACACACACACACACTGCAGGTCAATTAAAGGCTGATGGGCGAATCAGCAGACAGTCCATTAAGTCGTCTGTATGTGTGATTTGGAGGTCGGACCCCCACGGAGACGCCTCCGTCTCCTTCAGCAAGGACAAACCCACAGCCGGGGTTCAGACGCAGCGGGGTTCCGCCGGTTCTGTTTGGTACCGGCACAAAGAGCCCGCAAGACAAAACCGACACGCACAGAGTCGGAAAGATTGACAAAACGACCAGAAGCCTGGCAAAAAGAAAATGGACCAAAATAGGTACAAAACAACCACTGACAGAAGGCTGCAAACCAGACGGGATAACCAGAACCAGACCAGAACCAGCACCAGAAACACAATCAGCAGTCCTACAAAAACCAAAATACAAACCAGATCCAGGTGTGGCTGCACACACCTGGATCCGGAGCCTGGTGTGTGTGTGTGTGTGTGCGCGTGTGTTTATCTTCCCCCTGTAAACTGTAATTAGCCTCATTAATTAGCCTGGTTATTGAAACCAGCTTTTAAAACTCCCTCAGTCTAATTATTTCCTCTAAAGTCAAATTACTTTTCTAGCAGACACGCTTCGCCCACAGGGGGGCGCTGTCATGCACCACCTGGAGTGTGAATGTTATTCCAGTGAGTAACATTCAGTAACATTCACTTGAACACTGAATGTTTTATCTTCATGTTAATTTAAACATCTGTTAAGAAAATCAAAAAAGAAACTGAGCTTCTGAAAAAGAGTCTGGAATAAGAAATAAACTTAAATAAAAACATGGAAGAACAAAACTTGAAATGATGTGAGAGCAGAACTTGGTGGTCAGATTTGTGACCTGATTTCATAATTCATAACACCAAACAGATTTACAAGCAGAACCAGTTTGTTCATCTGAACATTGAGATGGGGAGATTTAAAACAAATATATTTAAATAAAGACAAATGTGTAATAAAGGCATAATATGTTCATGTTATCACAACTATTCTCATATTATTTCAACATTTCTCTAGCAACATTACATTTTATTTCCAGTAATATTATGACTTTATTCTAGCAATGTTACAAATTAATATGCAAGTAAAGTAATATTTCTAGAATAATGATTTTATTGTTATACAACTATTCTTGTTTTAAGTTCTTATTCTGGTGTTATTACAACTTTATTATCATATTGATACAACTTTTTTAGTCATATTACAAATCATTTTCTGACTTTTTCAAAGTAATTCTACGTCTTTATTTTCATACTTTTACAACATTTTTCTAGTAATATTACATTTTATTTTTAGTAATATTATGACTTTAAAACATTAATTTTCACAAGACTGTCATTTTAAGACGTTATTTTCATATTACGATTTTACTATCATACGACTTTATTTCGTCTTTTTTCTAGTAAAATTATGACTTTCTTCTACACTATTCAGACGATTGTTTTTAAGTGTTTGAGGCTGATGTTTGCTGACCTGGACGGTCTCACCTGACCCAGACGCTTCCTCTCTGCTCAAACATTCGCCGATGATGCGATGCTCTCGTTCTGTTTTGCGATTCTTCTTCCTCTGTCGTTCTCTGCGTCTTGCTGTCCAACGTTTCTGCTTTTATTCACGGAAACCTCTGAAAGTTTAATAGAGCAGCTCCCATTAATCCGTTGGTTCTATTTTAAAAGCAAGAATTAAAGATTCATCTGTATTCCTCTTTCTCCCTCTATCCGTTGCTTTTCCCTCCAAAGCTGACTCTCTGAAATATTTATGAGTGCTGAATCACTGGATGAGAGGAGGAAACTCCTCACTGCTTCAGAGGGCAAAGTAGCAGCTTCAGCTCCAGGCCGAGCAGCTGAGGGGCGAAACGGAGGCAACGGGAATCAAGAAACTGAAGACTGACATACTGGTCCAAATGTTGGTGTTTCCAATAAATAAAAACACAATTAAACCTGCATGTGAATACGCTTGATCAGTCAGTAAAGTCAGTCATTCAAAACCATGCAGCAGCATCATCCTCCTACCACTTTCTGTTGTCTTCTTCGTCATTTCCTACAGTAGTAACATCTGGTTATTGATCACATGACTGTGTGATGCAAAACAAAAAAAAAGAAGAAAAAAAAGAAAGTGTTTCCATTGCAGTTTTGCTAAATATAATACTTTTGATACAGCCAGAAACCAGCTCAAAAACTAGCTGCAAAATTTTACGCAAAAATGTATTTCTGAAAAATTGGCACGTTTCCATTAAGCAAATCTATTTCTGTAATTTCAATTTGCAATTTTAAGGTCAGTGGAAATGCATCCTGTAGCTACATTTCCTTTACAAATGTGAGCAAAACTTTGTAGACATTCTGGTAATGTGGCAAAAACACAATATTGCAGTTTTAGCGTTTCCCATTTAAAGAGCATTGAATTGTGCATGAATGAGCTTCACTGGATAATTTTGAACAATTCCAAATGTATGCAAATACAAACATTTTCTGGGAGAAGTCTTCATTACTTTAAATGTGGCGATTAAAATCTTTAAGCTATTTGCAGGATCTAATTGCAAAGGAAGCCGGTTGCAGTGATTTATAGTTTCCAGATCAATCTGAGGACGATGGGAGGAGAAAATCTGAGGAACCCTGAAACTTTGGCTGAGTCACATGTTTCTAATGTTTGGAGAGCGCTGCGTCTCTTCAGGGCCCACTAGGACCCACTTCAAACATGAAACCTGACCTGAACAAGTGTTTAAAGGTTTATTAGACACTAAAGGAAAACAGAGAAGCTCATAAAACCCCAAACTGTGGGAACTTAGACAAGGAGCAGCTAGAAATACTCTTTACTGTTACTTTTTTTAAAAAAGTGTGTCTTAGAAACTCTTATATGTGACTTTCTGAATGCTGCAGATATCTTGATATTATGACAAAATTATGAGAATTATGTCATAATATCACAACTTTGGTCTCTTTATATTATGACTATTGTTAACCTTATTCTCATAATTTATCATTTTAACATGAATACACTGTTGTAATGGTATTAAAAGTATTACATTTGGAAATTTCTCAGTTCTGCTGAACATTTTCTAGAAAAACAAAAACTACGAATCTTTTAGATGAACCTCAGAAATTTTCTCGGAAAAACATGAAAATTAAAAGTTTCACAAGTTGACAGTTTTCACCTTTTGAAACTCGTTCCATGTTTTTCTCAAAAATTTCTAAGATTAATCTCAAAATCTGTTTTTTTGACAGAAATTTGCTCCCTTCATATTTTCTCTATAATTGTCCTCATACCTTGTTTCAGCCATTTTCACAGCAGGGGTTCCTCTGCTGGAGGTGGGCGGGGCCTGGCTGGATCAGAGGCCCCGCCCACCCGAAGCCCCGCCCACCGGGACGCACCGGGAGCTGCAGTTTGGAGCTGAGCCGGTAATCAAGCCAAACGCTCCTCCTGCAGCTGCGACTAAACTTTTCTCTTTGTTCCCGTGTGCACGGGTCCGAGCCGACCCGGTCCGGTCCGGTCCGGTTCTCAAAGTTTGTGAGCAGGAGTTTGCGGAGCGGCGGAGATCCGCTCGGTTGGACCCGAAGGTTACATAAGAGCGGACATAAATCCTGAATGAACTCCGTGTCCGGCGGCGCGCCGCTCCGCGCGTAAACGCGCCGCCGAGTCCAGATTCCAGCTGAAAAGCGAGGACGCGCGGTTCTGACCCGGTTCTGACTGAGTGAAAATGAAAGTTTGGAGCAGGTTTCCCCCCCTGGATGCACGCTCGGAGTATCTTCCTGACTTTAGAGTGTGGAGCGTGAAGCCGCGCGTCCTGGCGCTGAACGGGATGGATGATCGTGTGAGCGGCGGGATGAAGCCAGGCTGCTGTGAATAAGACTCCGCTCCTTCCTGTGGATATAAAGTGACTGAAGGACGGTGATTTTCTTTTTTTTTTTCATGCGCTTCGGTTCTGGTTCGAGAACAGCCGAACCGAAGAGACGCGGATGCTCGCCGCGCCGCCGCTCATGGCGCGCTCCTGGCGGCCGCCGCTGCCGCCGCCGCTGCTGCTGCTGCTCGGACTGCTGCTGCGACTCTGCTGCGCCGTTACCGACGACCGGCTCATCTCGGACCGGTACGCGGTCTACTGGAACAGCACCAACCCCAGGTAAGACCCGGACCGGCCTTCAGGCCGAACTCTGCTCCCTGCAGGATCGGATTTGGATCATGATCTGATCAGAAAACTGAATCGACTTTAAATTGGAAGTTTTTTTAAAAATCGAGTCGAATATGAATGGAGAGTCGTGGAGAAATGAAAGTTCGCTGCAGGGTTTTTACAGCGCAGATAAAAACTCAAAATGCCTCCCAGATGTTAGAAACTGCAGCTTCAGCTCCAGTTTTACAGCCTCTGGTTCTGCTTGGCACCAGAAACCCGAACGGTTCTGATCCAACAGGTGACATTTCTCAGCTCTTTTCCTTTCAGCTCCAGGTTGGATAAAATGTTGGCAACTGATGTTGATGCAACTTGGAGAAAAACTTTCACCCAAACGTTTTAAATTCCCTCTGAAAAATGAAAATCACTGAAGCATTTTATTCTTCAAAAATATGCAAAAAATCAATTCATTTTGTCTTTTTCAATCAAGAAATTTAACATTTGTTCCTTTTTTCAGTTAATAACTTGATAAATTTTGGTTGCATGATATTACTGTTACTGCTCTTGTTATTTTCGACTAAAATTAGCAGGGGAACCGTTTATCATTTGATATTGTTGCAAACATTTTAACAGTTAGTTTAGGTTTAGTCGTAATAAGGGAAAAATGGCTCCTGGCCGCTGCGACCGGCTCAAGGTGACATCTTGTTTGGTCCAAAGATCTAAAATATTTGATTTATGGGAAAATGTGACGGAAATAACGAACAGGAATCACAGAAATCAAACGTTTCTGTATTTTTATTATTAATAATGTCTCTGTAATGGGGGAGATTTTTTGGGTCAGTTAATTAACATTTTTATGCCACAATATCAAATGTTTCCCATTTTCAGTGAAGGTCAGCCATGTTTGGTTCTGAGTTGCTGGTTCAGCAGGAAATCTGAGGACGACTTCATGGTTCGTAGGAAATCGCAGTTAATTTTTCAGCGTTGATTCGCTCGGGCGTTTTGGCGCCGTTCGTCAGTTCAGACTCCAGATGTTTCGATCTGCTTCCACACAACAAAATAGTTCCCTTTGTTTGCCAAAAAACTGGTTAAATTGTCTGGAACACATCCGATTTTTGTGTGACCTCTGACCTTCACTTGAAAATTGACATTTTTTTCTCTTTTTTTGTGCGCCTAGCAGCAGAGTGTCGTCCGTTCTGATTGGCTCCTCAGCTGGCCAATAGGAGGCGGCGCTGTTTTACGGATTACTGCAGGATTAAATATGAAGGTGTTACTGAGGAAGAATTTTTTATTGAGATTTGTTTTAGATTCTTTTAAAAACGTTGCTTTTTTAAAAAAATTTCAAAATAAAAGCACGATAATGAGCCCAGCAGAAAGCAGGAGCGAAAAGTTTGATCTGGAGAGTTTCAGCTGCAGGAAAAGTAGTTGCAGGCCGTTCTCGTAAAGAGTTGGAGTGTGTGTGTGTGTGTGTGTTGGAGTGTGTGTGTGTGTGTTGGAGTGTGTGTGTGTGTGTGTGTTGGAGTGTGTGTGTGTGTGTGTGTTGGGGTGTGTGTGTGTGTTGGAGTGTGTGTGTGTGTGTGTGTGTGTGTGTGTTGGGGTGTGTGTGGTCCTCCAGATGTGAGGTTCTGGGTTTCCAGCTGCCTGATCGTTTGTGTCCCTGCTGCGTTCCTGTAATAACAAGGCAGAAAAAAACGATTTTTCTCACTGGAGAATTAATATATTTGTTTCCAGCGAAGCATTAATTGATTTATAGCCAATGGAAGTTCATGAAATACCCAGAAAAGGTTTCTCCTTTCCGCCGTTCATCTGCAGCAGGAAATCCGTTTTCTATTAAACGCCACGCGGAAGATTTCAGGAGGGGAACCTGCTGCTCCCCGTCCCGCCGTGACGGTTCTGTGGTTCAGCCCGATTAGGTCTCGATTAGAGGGTTTAAACCACCGTTCTGTTACTGGTTCTGTTACCGGTTCTGTGACGGTTCTGTGACCGGTTCTGTTACCGGTTCTGTGACTGGTTCTGTGACGGTTCTGTGACCGGTTCTGCTCAGGGACGATTGAGAGATCTGTTTGGGTTTGCAGGAACGTTGGCGGGTGGTTTGGGCCGAGTGAACAGAAACGGGTTCGCTGTCATTCCTGCAGCTCAGGCGTCTTTAAATGTTCACTTTCGTACCTTTTAAACTCTAATTTAATGGAAAATAAAATAACAAACATTAAATAAAATTTGGCAGATTTTTAAATAAGAAAATTACTGAAATTAGATGTTTTACTTTTTTATCTAACAAAATTGTTGAACTGTCTTTCATATTTTTACAGTTTCCTTTTAAACAGTTTATTAGTCACTTTACAAATAAACATATTTTCTGACATTTTAAATGTTATTTTTCAGCTTTCTAAACTGTTTTAAATGAAGAATATTAATTTTGCCACTAGCAGCTTTAACTGACAGAAAATGGAGACGTTTCCTGCGACGTCGAGACGCAGCGAACGTCTCAACGTCGGGAATCGGACCCGCAACAGCCGTGACTGGGTTCTACGGCGACGCCACACCAATTGGTTTCCATTGGTTTCTAAATATTTTCATTAGATAATTTGATTAAACGTCCAAACTGACAAACTCTCCTCCAATATTTTAAAAATATTCGGTTTGCACAGAAAATTGATTTAAACGTCGGTCAACTGAACGAATCCAAACAAAATTTAAAAATGTTTTCGGTCAAATTTACTGAAATATTAAATCCAGTCTAATTTGTGTTTATTTAATCCATTTTGTAATTTCAGGATAAAATCTCCCAGATTATGATGATTATATTTTGAAGGTTTTTGAAAAACCTGTAATTTAAAACCAACATTTGATCGTTTAAACCTGAAATAACGAGCAGAGAAAATCCAATCAACAAAATTCTTTTATAAATTATAAAATGGTGAAATAATCCCGGAATAGGTTTGAATTTCGTCTCGGTGAATCCTGCAGACCCTGGTCTGTTTTTGTCTTCAGCGGATTTGACTGAAGGAGACAAAAGGTCATGAAGTTGACCTCTGAGTAAAAATAAAAATTACTAATAAATTCAGGTGTGACAACTTTAAATATGCAGATTCAGAAAAAGGCAGAAATATAGAAATAATAGTCTTTACATTCAGAAAAAATACTGTGAAATTAGTGCCTTTTTAAGTTAAACTGGGTCAAAGGTCATTGTGCTTCACATGCAGAAAAGAGAGAAACTTGGAAATTTGTTGTTACAACAAAAATATTTTGGAAATGTACGTATTGTTAATGAGTCCAGTTTGTGTTAGCAATAACTTTACGAAGCAAAATGAACTGCAGGCTTAAAACCCACCAATAAAAATCCAGGAATCGGGTTGGGGGTCATCGGGTCGGGCTCATCGGGTCGGGCTCATCGGGTCGGGCTCATCGGGTCGGATCAGCTGGCGGAGCTTCCCTTTCTCGACTCAAACTGTCAAAATAAGACGAATTAGTAGGCTGGTTTGTGAGCATCTGCAGCAAAGGGTCTTAACTTTGAATGTTGATTCTGGTTTGCAGAAATTAAATAATTTCTTTCTTACTAGAAATAGTAATTGTAAATTAGCTAAAGACGAATCACACTATTGATTCCTGCAGCTCTGATTACGGCTCCATCCGCCTCCATCTGTAATTCTTATGAAAACGTGTTGATATATATTATGATAGATTTGATGTTTTTAACTTGTTGTCCACTCATTTTAATTCTCCTGATCTTTTTGTCTCATTGGCTGACTTCATTTATTATTTTTTTGACCTTGAAGCAGCTCGTAGATCTTCTCTCTGTTTCTCCGCTGCAGCAGGAATGTCTTTGGATCGGCACATTTAGGTCCAAGCTTTCTCTCTTCATTCATAGAAATCTGTTTCCATTCATAAAATTGCAGACGTTGGAACTTCTGCTCCCAACATTTTGGCTTTGAACTGTGAAATATATTCAAAAATGACTCAAATTTCCCATATTTTTTTCCTAAAGTTGCTTTGGGAAGGTCAAAACATGCATCTCAACGACACTGATGGTTTTTGAGCGGCCTGTAATGGCCGCTGCCTGGACTCGCTCTGCAATCTGATGCCTGTTCAGTTTGTGCTAATTGAATCTTTCTGACCTTGTTCAGTTTCATCTGAAGTGTAAATGTATTTATCTCGTTCTGAGCTGCCTCCTGACACTTCAGATCTCAGCAGCCGGATGATGGGAGGAATAATTAGAGGTTTATTAGGAAATAAACACGGCCGTCCGGTGGTTTCAGCAAATGAGAGCAAAAGTAGAATTGTAATGTACAAATGTTTCAAAAATTTGTATCTTTTTCTCCTTTTGTTTGTATTTCGCAAAACGGGCCAACCGTTCGCTTCACTTCTGATTTCTCTACTCATCCATGTGCCTCCATTTTTGCAGGTTCGGTCTCCTGCCCCCGTCTTTCTTTTAGGGAGTCGATGTTCACCCAGGCATCAAAATGGCCCCCAGCTTTTTGGTTGAAGGGCTTCACCACCACAACTTGCCCCAACAATAAAGAGGTGCACAGTACGGCTGTAAAACGGAGGGAAACGGTCAAAAAATGTTGGAATCGTTTGAGTAAAGACAAGAATATAATCATGATATATTTCAGAACGTTGATCCAGATTTATCACCATGAAGTTGAATAATGGCGTTCTCTCTCGTTCGGGCTTCGTTTTATTTGTATTTCCACTCTGCAGATAATCTCCTTCAGCATCTTTCTCTGATTTTAACATGTAAAACTAAATAAAAATTTGATCTTTTTATTCACGAAGCACCAAAACAGATTGGTCTACTTTCCCGTCACCTTCTCCAAGAGCTAATCACCAAAGACACAAAAAAACATTTTTATTTTACTTTACAATTTTGTATGGAAACCAGGAATTTCCAGTCACAAAATGTAAATAAATGATTAAATAACGTGAGCATGAAGCTGGGTTCTCAATGTTAGACTTGGGACTAATCCGATATTAAAAACTGTATTGTTTTAATTCTAGTTTTTTTTTACATGTTTGACCAAAGTAATCAAGCTTTTGTTTTTATCTGTTTCAGTCTCTTGATTATTTATTTTACTTTGGCTGTTAAACCTGCCACAATCTGCAATTATTCAATTAATCCATGATAAAATGAGTTTGATTAGAGATGAACGATATATCGTATCGGAAGATATTAGTAAATTTCGAACATATCGGTATCGGCCCAATATGTTTATTTTTGTCTGTTTCTGTTTCTTTTCCCAAAGCTGTCTAAACGGTAGTGAAATATATATATCAATAAATATTAACATTGGATATGTATATAACTTATTAATGTTTTTTGAAGGTCTGAGTGGCTCTTTCTGAATATGCAGCTCCAGACTCAATACTGTCAGAATCACAGATCTAAAAAACTAGACAAGTCTCCCTTTAAATGATGGACACGTTTAACGGTGGATAAAAAAACATATTGTAACTTATTTTCAGATATATTTTTTTAAATGTTATTTGTATTCAAGAAGAAGCCTGGAAGCAGAAACGTGCAGACAGTTTGGTTGTATTTATTAGGTTTTCAAGCAGACCTACATTTCCAGTTTGTTTTTCGGTTTGGGACGATATTAGTTGCCCATTTAGAAAACGTTCAGGAGACACAATCTAGGAAAACTAGAAGTTGGGATGGTCCGATGATTGCTTCATTGGTGAATCGCCATTTGGGACCAATAAGCGTAAATTTAGCTTGTTTGAGACTGAGATAATTTTTTTCCACCGTATTTTGTTTTAAGTTTGCATTTTTCTTGTCTAAATGTTAAAAAAGAATCCATCAATTGAATTTAATGTTTTTCTGTTTCTGTTCACAAGAAACTGTTGAACTTTATTGATGTTTTATGGCCATTAAAATAATTGGGTCTGAACCGAGAAATCGCGAGAAAATTGTGATAATTGTGACGCTTTTGAGTCAGAACCAGATGGAGAAAGAAACTGGGTTTAAATCTTTGTGATCTGAGCAAATATTTCTTATAAATCGTTTCTTGTATCATTTAAATGTCTGAATCTGCTTCCAAATGTCGGGACCAGTAAATGTGGGATTCCATGCTGTTCTCAGACAGCCTTTCCTTTTCCAGTGACGTCTGTCAAAACAAAATTCTTCTTTTTTAAAACGTTATGCGACACAATAAGAAGTCTTTTCTCTGCTCCAGTCGGCTCAGGTTTTAGCGCTGCTCTCTGCAGGGGGCCGGCTGCTTTCCCATCTGATTTTTGTTTAAATGTTCCTGTAAGTAGCTGAGAGTCTGTCTGTGGTTTGTGTTTACTGTGTTTTCTATTTTAATCCAGTCTGATCTCATTTATTCTGTCAGTGAGTCATTTCACTAATGTCAGCGTCTTTCTGGGAGCAGAAAGGAAGTCGGAAATGTATTAATTATTAAGCAATCAAAGTGGCACTTGATGAGTTTTAGTATCAAAAACAGTTTTCAGTCATAAAAATTCAGTGATAGGAAGCATTTTGTCCGTAAAAGGCCAGAAAATAATTTAACGGCAATAATGGAAAGCTATAGTAACAGATTTTCTCTATTTAGAAGAATTTCTAAATAAAATCTTTTAATTCTTTACTTCAGATTACAAAAAACGAAAAGGAGACAAAATTTCTAAAAATAAAAATCTTCAATATTTGACTATTGTAAAAAAAAACACAAAAAATATCTATCGAGCAATTTTGGAAACACAAATCTAACACCTAAAATACGCACAGAAATAGAAATCGTATTGCTTTGCATTTCAAAACATCTGCATGAATTTTTTACCAAATGTAAATAACAAACTTCCCCATATTGGACCAGTTAGTCACTGGACTGTTAACCCTGCTGGCTCATAAATCAGGAGATTTTTGAGGAATAACACCAAAGTATCTTTGACTTTAACTTTGAAATCTCGTCATATTAAGCTGAAATCTTTCTTTTTCCACAGTGGAAGGTCGGAAACGAGCAGCCAGGTTTTTGCAGTGTATTGGTGAGGTCGTGTGATGGAGTGCGAGCGTTCCCTGAAGGCGTGCTTAAAGCTCCCCAGCGAGGTTCTGCCGGTTTATTATTTCGGTGGCAACGTTTCTGGGTCCTGGGCGAAGTGTAGCGTAGTGTGTTGACAGCTGTGGCAGCAAATCCATGATGTGGAGCCTGCATGCGTGGCTGGACCTTCAGGAAGCCGAGGCTCAAATTCAGGGAATCCCATCAACGCAGCAGTTAGCGCTGGGCCAAAAAATCAGTTTCCATAAAAATGACGATTCTCATTTACTGTGATATAGAATCGATATAAAATGTCCCAAAATCAATTTAGAAAAAATAAAACTCATTTGTCGACAGCAGGCCTCTATAATTGCAACTTAGTTTCATCACAATACTATTTTGGAAACAAAAAAATTGACGATAATAACGATTTATTACTTCCTCTTTAAGTCATTGTACTTAAAGAGGAAGTAATTATTGTCCCACAAACACTTGAAAAATATTCACCAGTTGCATAAAGAAATGTGAATCTGAATTTAATCGTATCTTTGAATTTATCTTTGTTGATTTTTTTAAATGGTTCACTATCAATGCCAACAACACAGACAGATGTGGGGGTTTAAACAACATTAATTAGAGTTTTTAAAAATGATTGATAAATTTATCAGTATAATCGATAAACGTCTCGCAGGGCGTCTTGACGTCGCTGCGTGAAAATCACCAAGACAAATTAGAAACCATAAAAATAAGAGAAAATATTCAAGCAGCCAACATTTGGCAAACCTTTGGACTAATTTAGTCTTTGCCACATTCAGAAACTTGGACTGAACTGACTGTTCAGTCTGAAACGAAGACAGAGCGATTTGGGTTCTGGTCCGGTTCAGAACAACTGCAGGACAATTCAAATGAACCACTTGCTAGCATGCTAGCTATCACATTAACTACCGCTACCTATGCTGGCTACTATGCTAGCGCTACGCTAGCTACCAGCTACCAGGCTTCAGAAAAGTGACATAAAAAAGAAACAAAAAGAAAACTGGGAATAGTGAAGCAAAAGGGGGGAAAGAATGAAAACTGAAAATATAAAAGTAAAAACCAACCATAGTTCAGAGCTATTAGCTCTCAATGCGTCGCATGTTAATCCTCTCTGACCTGTTGGTGACGTCACTGTGTTTCGCTGTTGCCTGTAGGTGTCGCCATTTCTGTGAGAAACCTCTGAGTTTCGATAATAAATCTAAAGGATTCGTGGTGACGCTGATTCTTATTCTTGACGATTCTTCACATTTCAGTTAGCTTGGTGATGAGCTCCAGCTAGCTGTCGCGATGTTTCCCAGCCAGCTGTCGCGATGTTTCCCAGCCTTAGCGTAAAATCATTTGTTTTAGTCCCGCCTCTGGTCGAAACATGTAATTTGGTTTCAAAGTATTTCATTTAGTTTTCCTAATGAACGTCACACTAATCGAATCCTCATGTTTGAGAATCATCAGCGTTCGTATAAACTTTGTCCTCCGCTCCTATGAGGCAAGAAATTGTTGCTGTTAAAGTTAAAGAAGAAATTAAACGCTCAGATCAGTCAGCGTTCCTCTGCTGCACATGTTTTTCCGCAGTCTGAAGATCTTTGTGTTGGTTTCCTCCTCCAGACTGGCTGTTCAGTCTGAGGTTAAGTAAAACATTTTTTGGTTATGGCTCAACTCTGTCTCACTAAGTAGAATCACGAGGAAGTAAAACGGTCCTCTGTTACCGCTGCGCCGCCTCCTCGACCCAAAACCCCCAAAAATGTTAACTTCATTAAGGTTCCCTCAAAGCAGAGCGAGACTCCAGAAAATGTCCTGAGGCCGCCGGAGGGATCCGGGCGAGAAGTTCCTGATGGATTCAATCAAAACCAACGTGTGAGGCTGGAAAACACGAGTTCACGCTCAAACGAGTCACTGTTTCTGCACTGAAGGGACCGCAGAGTTCAACAGCACACTGTAATAAAAGCAGTTTGATCTTCTTATGAAATAAAACTGGAAAATTTATGCAGGAATTTAAAACATGTGCAAGAAAATTAATTCTTCGTTACATTCAGACCTTGTAGCAGTTATAGTGCATCAAATGTCTTCCATCATCTTTTCTCTGATTGGTCAGTTTGAATTTTCCCTCAACCAATCGGATTAAAAGATGGGAGAGAAACTCTCATTTGGGAACTTAAAGGGACAGAATCGTGTAAAATCAACTTTTCTATAATGTTTTTACCCTCATCTAAAACAATCCTGGAGTGCTGCTTTGATTCTGTCCTACATGTTTCAGACATGCTTTAATCTCCATTCAGCTGGGCCTAGCCCCGCCTTCCCGACTTAGCTCCCCCACTCAGCTCCTTCAGACTAGCCAGCAGCAATTAGCAAACACCTGGTGGAGCTGGTTATAGGAGCTACTGCTCAGAGCAACGCTGGTAAAACATAGTTAACGGGTTCCTAGAGGAGCCATGTTGGGAAGGCAGAGCTCCAGAGAGAGCAGGAGTTTTTAAAGAGACAGAGACCCAATTTCAAAGTCTTAAATTACAAAGTCAGATTTCTTTATATTTGATACGCATGGCATTTTCATAACTACTGAAGGTAACATAAGTGGCTCTAAAATGGCTTTATGTGCCTGTAAAACTAATACTGCTTCTTTAAGAGTCATGCAGTTTGTGAACTATTCATACCTGAGGAACTGTTCAATCTTCAGGTGGGAGTTTGCATCACTGAAATGTTTGTAGGCATTTTGATATGAACTCACAGTTATGCCTTTGCACAAAAATAAGCAGGGATCTTTAGATTTTGTGTGAATTTCCACAATTTCAGAATAGTGAATAAGCGACTGATTGGCAGCTGGAGACTCGAGGGCCACTTAGAAAACTGCGGCGGGCCGCATTTGGCCCACGGGCCACGAGTTTGACACATGATTCCAATGATTGTTGATGCAAAGATTCAGGTGTTTGGTTGCAGGATCTCTCTGGTTTAGGTGTGTCTGTGTGTTAGAATGGCGTAGTCAAAGTCCAGACCCAAGGCTGAATCTGGAATCAGTGACAAAGTAGATAAATGATGCTCAGTTATCCTTCGTATTCAATCTGCTGAGTTTGAGTTGTTTGATAAAGAAAATATGGACAAAAAGTCTCCAGATGTTCAGATTTAGTTGAGACGAAACCAGAAAGGAGGAAAAACAGCAAAACTTTGTCAAGTGACGCAAATAATTCATCGTTCTTCACAGCGAAGCTGAATTTCTGTCCCCAAATCCCAGTGAAATACAACAGATGGCCTGAAACGTGGAAAAATAAAAAGGTTGAGCATTTTCACTAAGAGACTAATTAATTTTATCATTTGTAATTTATGAATGCATTAATTTCAGAGAATAAAAACGATTTCGTTTGAGTTTAAAATCAGTAATAATGAATGAATGGTGATCTAAAGCAGGGTGTCCAACGCGCGGCCCGGGGCCCATTAGTGGCCAATAGTTCCAGTTTAAGAAACTCATATTATTGTTACCAAACGTTTTATTTTTACGTCAGCAGAAAATTCTTGCAATGGACAAAGTATTCCTGGTTTTTCAGCCAAACTTTAATAATCAGTAGAACGTCGTTTATCCAGAGACTTTTACCCAAAAGACGACTTTGCTGCATGAAAATGAGCTTTTCTATAATTTAATAAACTCCGTTAAATATTGCAATCTTTTTGAAAGAAATCCTATTATTATAACTGAATAAATTCTTTGTTTTTACACAGAAAATGTGCAAAATCTTTTGGATTTATAGAGAAAAGAAGAAATTGGACAACTTCTTTTGTTTTATCTTGTGACAATTTAGGATCAGATTTTTTTCTCCAAATGACAAAAAGTTTGGACAAACCGAACCGAAAGTATTTGATTGAGTTGATGGCACTGATTTCTCTGCTGTTAATTGTTCATTAGTGTTTGGTCATGTCTGACTGGTTAGCGCCGCGCTAACGCCCCTCATCCCTCTGAAAGCGACTCCAAGGTGATGCGGCTGGACTGGTTTCTGGAGTTTGTCTCCCAGTTTGTCTCCCAGTTTGGCCCCAGTTTGTCTCCCAGTTCGTCCAGCCTGCAGCTCTGCACCGCTGGAGGAGAAAATGGCGGCCGGTTTGGTTCAGGAAAAGAAAGCGGTAACGCATCGCTGCAGCCGCCATTTTGTTAAGCCGGGGTCAGATTCCTTCCTCCTCCGGATGAAACTTCACTCAAACTTTTCCTTTTTCTTTTTCCGATTGCTCTCAAAATGAGCCCAAATCTTAGTAGAAGTTTAATTCTGTTTATTGTTTGTCATTTTTTTCAGTCAAAATTAAAGACAAAAAATCGTTTGTACTGAAAAAGGCGAACAATAGTTAAATTCCTGTCATTTTATGAACAGTAGGATGAAGCACAAGCTTCACTTTTTCATACTCAAAGCATCATAGAAATGAAAACTTTTCTGTATATTTTCTAAACATTTCATGAAATTCAGTCTGCAGAAAAGAAAACAATCAAACTTCAGTTTGTTAAACTAAAGTTATTTATTTAGAAAATGATTTTCAGAATTTTTTTTTTTATTCTAAAGGGAAAAACATTTTTAACTCTTGAATTACTGAGTCTCTTTAACTGAAGTTCGCTTGTTTTTAATATTCGTCTTCATCTTTAATTATTTCAAGTAAATAATTTTCATTTTTTCTTTATTTCAAACGGCTTCTGTTTAAACCTGGGAAGGAGTTTATAGTCCTAAAGCTTTAACGCATCAGACGCAGATATAATTATTTTAATGTGTGTTTGTTTCATACGAGTTTCTCCTCACAATAATTCATGTATGGAAGTAAATTCTTTGGACAAACATCATTTTTATATATTTTTGTCTTAAAGGTTGGAGTAAGATCCTGAATCTGGATCCGCGTTAATAAAAAGGTGATAAATCGTGGAGAAGGGGCATCGTTTGAGCGTAAATGAGCGGTTTGGGTTATTGAAGCACGTTTAGCTCTTCATTACAACCTCATAATTCTCTGCAGGATTTATCGCCTCTGTCATCTGGATCCAGAAAGGAAACTGAGACGAGTCGGTCCCAGAGAGACTCGCAGAGTGAAACTCATGTGGGCTGTTAATTATGTCGCTGCTGCTGCAGCTCCTGCTGCTGCAGCTCCTCCTGCTGCAACTGCTGCTGCTGCAACAGGAGCTGCAGCTCCTGCTGAAACTGCTGCTGCAGCTCCTCCTGCTGCAGCTCCTGCTGCAGCTGCTTCATTCAGTTCCACCAGGAAGTGTTGCAGTATGGAGGACCAAAACTGACATAATTAGCAATAAAAGCAGAAATATTTTTGTTTTTTCTTTTTCTGACATGCATATTTTGACAAATGTATTAGGAAAAGGAAACAGAAGATATGTATAGATTTCTTGATGAAAACACGTGTCAGAGAAAACGAGGAATCTACTTTTATTTTAAATTTTGTGGTTCCTGTGGCTCCAGTCTATTTTAGGTTGCAATGAAAGAGATTTCTGCTAATTGGCTGCATAAAATGAACCTTTAACGCCTCCTGCTTTCAGGCTGATGCACATTGAGACCAAGAGAGAAAATCTTGACATTTAAGGGATTTTATCTGCTTTTTTTTCATAGTAGGTGATATTAGAAGTCTTTCTGTTTCAATTTAAATCAGTGAGTTGATAATAGAGAAAATATTGGAATATTTTGATTATGTGGTAAAATTGCGTTTTGCTTTCACTTTGTCTGTTTTTCCAACATGTTGTCCTTCAAAGTAAAGCGCCGTTAACCACGCAAACAAAATATTCCTCTGTCACTGTATTAAACCTGAGCCTAACCAGAACCATGACCTTTAACCCCAACTGTGAACACGACTTTCTTTTCGTCACCAATGTTAAAGCTGGAAGCCAAACACAACATCCATCATCTGTTGTGTCATCAAACTGTAGGATAAAGATAAAACCTGCTTTAATTTAACTGACAGAATAATATTTAAGTTATCATGTAAATCCTCTGTTTTTATGAAGAGGTTCAATGAAACGTCATATTGAAGCCAGTAAAATCCTGATTTTCTTTATTTCATCAGAACTTGAAGATATTATTAGTTGCCTTTTATTTCCTTTTTCCTTGTTTCAACAGAAACTTCTAATAAATCGTAATTTGCTCCAAATTAGGTGATCAGATTTAACTGAAGTGCATTTAAAGGCAGCTGCATGCAAACAGCAGTGATGTGATGTAACCATGTGCAACAGCAGCAAAGTTTGCATTCGCTGAACAGAAAGTTTGATCCGTTTTCATCGCCTGGTTCACAGAGAAACCGAGTCAACATGGTTTCCATGAGAAAAGCAGAAGTTCAGGAA